GTGTAGGTCCGTCACCGAGTGCCACCGACCACGCAAGCAAATCCACTGTAGCGACGTCAGCAGCAAGCAAGCACTCCTCAATGCGCGCAGCAATTAGTGCTGTTGGCGAGAGTTTCTTCAGTTGCGGGTAATATCGGACGAGGTAAGCGGTGAGCACAACTCGTGGAATGATAAGTCGGAAATCCGATCCCCCATGATAACATACCGAGATTTGACAGCCCAACAGTTGCTTTGGAGCAACATTTTAGAAGACTTCTCAAATTTGATTTTTGACAAATTTTGTCTTCATCAATGCATTTCTCGCTAAAAGTTTGCTTAGAGCCCACTAGACTTATGGTCTGTACCTTAAAGCTTGCAAGTCTGCAAGTTTGCATGTACATGTACCCTACTTACAGCACAGTGCATTCGCCAATGAAAAGTCGGCCATTTCAAAAAAGGACGTAGTATTGTGGGTTCTACTCAAAATATGACAGGACGGTTCTTTGAATGAATCTCCCCCAAATCGCCCAGCGTTTACAATTCCGTATACTGACCGTTTAAGTACGAAATAAGGTGGCAAAAAAAAGACTTGGTGGGTTTTACTAATGACTTGGGTTTGTAAGTGGGCGATTGTCCTCCCGCTCCTCAAACAGACCCAAGTCGGCAAATTTGGACGGAATTCACAATAGCATATTCTGAGACGATGCATGTGAACCACTCCTTCTCCTCACTAACTACTACGTAGTATATACAAGTAATTTATCCAAACAATCGTTAATGAGTCCTTAAAGAAGATCTCTGCGACCAACCAACGTGTAGCTGCCAATGTGCAAGGAGAAAAGTAATAACACAACATATTTACTTTGTTTCCTTAGTGACTTCACTACCGCTGTACGTACACGTGTCCTGGGGGTCCGACACTTTTCGCATCGCGTTTGTGATGGCGAAGAAGTATGCCTGGTGCTGAATATTATTGTTATCGAGGATAGTTGATTCATCGATAACAGCGTTGGCTAGCTCATCTGCTGCCTCAATAAATGTCATGGCGTTGAGCTTCTTGTAGCTAAGCCCTGTCATCTCCATGAACTTGCGAATACGGAAGTCACGCGGCAGCCTACCAACAATGACCCCTTCGGGAGATTTGACGGTTTTGGTGTCTACCACATCCGCGTTGAGCTCCGAGTCGGACGTCATACTACGACGATTCCAGTTCGCCGAGCCAATAGACAGATACACGTCGTCAATGACCACGATTTTCGAGTGAATCAGGATATCTCGCTTAGCTTTGGTTGTGTAGATTTTGAACTTGTTGGGATACTTTGACCGGATAGGCTCCACGCTCTCGTAGAAGTATTTGATGTAACCAGCATTGGTGAATGGACTGGTTTGTGGGTTGGCAACGACAACCAGTCGTTGGATCGTGGGCATCACTTCCATGATCGCTTGAAGAAGCTCCGGGACGAGCACAAAATACTGATCTTCAATGTAGATAAAGTTCTTGGCATTCTTGATGGCCTTGAGTCGTGCTTGGAACAGCGACGTCTCTCCACGAGGAGCAAACTCCTTGTAATGTTCGTACATACAGCTGAATGTCCGTGTGATCTGAACACTTTGGTGTCCGAGTTTTGCTGTGGTGTTGCTACTAGCATAGTCCAGAGGAGGTAAATGCTCGTACTTGGGGTTCCTAAAATCCAAGAGATCGTCGTCAAGACCCTGGCATGGCAGATAGTCGGAATTCCATCGAGCTAAGAAGTTGCTGGCCACGTCTTTGGCGGCTGGACCATGGATACGAATGTGACCGTCCATCCAACCTTTCTCGCGGAATGTGATCTTGGCCTCATCACGCAGTGCACTGTTGTTGTGGTAGATCGTATCCCACCGGTCATTGGCAAGGTCATATCCGCCCACGTACGCTACGGGCTGGTCGTCCGGATCGGTGGAGCTGCTGGCTGCAATTACCATGTTCTTTTGGTGGTGAGAGGACAAAGCTTTGGGCACACGGTCGTCGAAGATAAGCACGGCTTTAGCGCCGTTAATTGGAGAAGGTGGGATACTGTTGATAGCATCACGAGCCTTAATGTTGTAAGGAGTGTATCCGACTCCAATGTTCGACCAGTTCAGGATGTTGACGTGCCCACCACGCTTTACCACACCTGCCATTACTTCCTTGACACCAGACTTAGCTCCGGTCGGATCAACTTCCGGTTTAAGTGGGACGAGAGCTGTTAGCCATGCAGCAAGCATGACGCGGTCTCCCTCTTTGGTAGAGCTGAGATCCTCGTACACGGCGTCGTAGAACTCGTTAGCCACCGTGTAGGACGTCACCTTGTTGCCTGTCGTGTAGACCGACATGTCGGTTCGAGGGATGCCCCCGCGTGATGCAGTGATCTCCTTTTCGGTGAGGAACCAGTCCTCGGCATCCAGAAGAGGCTGTCGGGGCTTGATGTCGGTTCCATCCGAGAGATCAGCGCTTCCACTGCCGTTCGCATTGCCTGTTGCTGAATTTGTTGCAGACCTCGAATCGTCGTCGCCGCCGAACAGATCCGAGAAGGAGAAGGCGGATGCTGGTGCCTGTGCTGCTGCCAACACGGCAGCTAAAGCGATGAGACGCATAAGAGTTTGCCAGCTCGGCAGAAAAAACGAAATATGCGGCGCAATTTGTGGACAAGATTACGAAAAGCATCGCTTTTTCTGCGTATCCGGTGCAAAATCTCCACGATAACCTGCTGCCAGCCGCTCCTACGACCATGATAGAAAATGGGATGTGGAGCTCGAAAAGAGTCGGAAATTCCGAATCGGAATTCGGAAACAGCGACGACGATCATTACCGTCACGCGTACAACTGGAACGCGGTAAACAAATTTGTTGTAACAGTACTTAGTACGTTCCTTTGTCTTTATCAAAAAAAAAAGTAACAACAAGGTTCCATATCAGTGATATATACAGCAAAGCACGATACCCCGACATCTGCTGGTTGTCAATCACTTCACGGTGATAAGGTCGACAAACAGCGAGGTTTACAGTCAATGCGACAACTGAAGCACCCGCTATACTGGGCGGTGTAGCGTTCGGCTACTGTGCATTGCACAGTCCTTACGCCATTGCTTTAAGTCACAGTGCTTGCTTGCACTGTTGTCCTTAAGTCCATGGAATTAAGGACAACACGCAAGGTTGAGAGAAATCGAGGACAACAGTCAAAGCACCACCAAACCGATATCTTCGCAAAAATATGTCGTCTTAGCCTAAAATAACCAAGATAAGAAAATACATGGGCAATCGCGTACAGAAAAGGTTTTCCGTTTAGACTTGAGCTCACTTCACATGTCGGTCGAATGACTGATAATATCGGCAGATTAAGCTTAAATGCGCTTTTGAGGTATCATCTGGACCCTGTCAGGAGCCTCATTCAGTAATAACGGCAGCACCTCATTAGAAAACCTTCCAGCTAACGCAATTTTCACCCGCCATTCTTAACTGGCAATGAGTGAAAATGCGGTTCAATATGCTTGCCCTTTGACTCAAAATGGTTTCTAGTGAAGTGAGAATGCGCTTCTTTGTACATTTGTTTCAAGCAGCTGGTAATTTGGGAGGGTTGTGTACAAGTTGTGTGGACGGAACGGAGATGCATTCTGCCAAAACCGATGCTTCGAGAGTTGGGCTTCTGGTGCCCTGAGAACGAGCTGCATGTACCGAGCTCCTTCGACGCTAACCGCCCAAACCCTCTTCACCTTGTCGACGATGCCTGGTTCGCTGGGTGCGACCCCGCTCTGCTGAAGACCATTGAGTGGTACCTAACTCGGTCTTTCGTGGAGAGTCACGAACTGGCCTACAGCTTCTGTCGATTTCCGGATTGCTCGCTGGCACTTGAACAGCCTCGCGTTATGGGTGCGTGTACGATGACCGATGGGATCTACTGCTGGCCTGAGGGATATTGGCACTACGTGGGCCATCACCACGTGAAGCCACCGCAGGAATTCCTGGACCACCTGCTGGAGAGATATGGCACGATGGCCGAGATGACGAGGAAAGCGAGAAACGAGAAGAAGCTGCTCTTGTGGGATGATATTGAGCAAAAGGCTATGGAGATGCCTCGAGCTATGCAGGACTGGATAACAAGCTACACTACTATACAAACGGAATAAAACGTAAAGTCTACCAGTCGATGATGTCACCCTTCCCAAAGTGAAGTAGTTGCAGAGGATCTCCAAGTTTTGCTCGATCAATTAGACGCACCATGCCTTCGACACTTTCCTCAGGCTCCACAGCGCCGTTAAAGTTGTTGTACGCTGTATTCACATTGCCTGGATGCAGCAGCAAGCATCCGATCTTTTGCGGTTCCAAGTCAATCGCCAAGCTCTTGGTAAACACATTCAGAGCACCTTTCGATGCTCGATGTGCGTATGCTCCACCTGAACTGTTATCCGATATGCTGCCAATGCGTGACGTGACTTGAGCTACAAAGGAGAAACCTCTTGCACTCACTGCCAACCGGAGATTAGGCAGGAGAGCACGAGTCACTAGCAGTGGACCCAACGCATTCACTTGAAATTGCCGTAAACAGTCCTCCGAAGTCGTCTCATTCAGACTATAAAGTCCAGACGCACCAGCATTATTAATTAGCAGATCGATCGCCACTCCTCGCAGCATCGTCGCAATTTCTTCAATCGACTGCTGATCCGCTACATCCAACGGGATCAGTCTCCAAGGGTATAATGATTTCACCTGCAAAAAATACACCACAATACACTGTTAACCGACAGTCACCGTAAATTCAAAGCATTGCGATGTACATACCTCGTCCGCTGTGTTCACATCTCTTACGGCCGCAATGACATTCCATCCTTCCTGTGTATAATGCTTCACAAAGGCCAGTCCAATGCCTCTACTCGCCCCCGTAATCATCACTGTCTTCTGTATTGGTCCACTCACAAGTTCCGTCACTCTTGGGGTCTCTATCGTCGTGTCCACACGGACAATTTGCCTTCCCGGGGTATTTCGTGCCAGCGCTAAATGGTCTGTCACGTCGGTTAATGTCCTTTGCGGTTGTCCCTCTGTGGACACAGCTGCATTATCCACCAGTCCTGAAGTGTCCTCCACTCTACGACGTCGAAATTCTCTGAATCTGATTCCATTCCTTGCCATAAAATTGGTCATCCAACCCACCGACAAGCCAAGCTTCGGGCGTCTTTCGGGCGGCAGCTCTGCCACAATTTCCTGTGCTTTTTGTACCAATAGTTTCCGCGAGAGACGCACATTCTCAGCGTTGCAGGTGTCCACAAAGCTCTTAAGTGCCGTCTCCAGTTCAGGGCTGACTACGTCGCGACCTCGTTTTGTGACCCCTAGACGATGTTTCTCTTCGATCTCTTCTGCCGTCAGGAGAATCTTCTTCACCGTATTGGCGGACGGCGCACGTTCCAAATTGAAGGCGGCCATAGCCCATTGCGCCAGCTTCACCTGGGACAGCCCCGGGTTACGCCGGTGCTTGACGATGAGCTGGTACTTCTCCTCCACCGTTAGCCACTTGCCCATGATTCACAAAAAAATGTTCAATATGACGTTGAATGAACCAATCAAAACGATCATATATTACCGAAATGCATTAACATTGAAATACCCCCAATAAATTACCAATACTGCTTGTTTAACGGTAATTTATTCAAAGAACCCATACAATTGGCCATATACTAGTACTACTACATGTAACATTCATCCGCTTCCTCATGAGGCAAACACAAGATGACACAAGAGTTATTGAAAGCCTCTTTCATGGCCTTTTTCATTGCTGTTCCGCGAAAACTTATCCAATCCTATTGCAGAAGTCAAGGACTGTAAAGCTACTCACAACTTAGTCAGACGAGTTCTTCTCGAACAGAGCGCGCGACTGGACCTTGCGCTTGGGGTCCGTCTTGCACGTGTTCTTGCGGTTCTTGCCGACCACAGCAGCCTTCTTCTCGGCACGCAGGGCCTCAGCGCGCAGCTCAGCGCGACGGGCCACCAGCGTGTACGGGTTGAGCTTGACCATGGCACCCAGGTTGCGGAGCGGGTTCTTCTTCTGGAAGCGGCGGTGCTTCTCGTACTTGCCGGCACGCACAACCGACTGGATCTCGTCAGAGTTGATCAGACGGCCCAGGTTGGCGTTGTTCATCTGGTGGCGCGGCAGCTGGTAGCCAGCCTTGGAAACCGACTTCTTGGTGTACGTGCCGTACAGCGAGTCCAGCTTCTGGAACGCAGACTTGGTCCAGATGATGAAGCGGCCCAAGTGGCCACCAGGGGCCAGTTGCAGCAGGTTCAGGCGCTCAACGTTGGCGAGCTCCACACCCGGGATGTTGCGGAAGGCCTTCTCGGCGCCGTTGGCATTGGCGTACACGATCAGAGGACCACGGCGGGTGGTGTAGCGACGGTTGCGTGACTTGCCACGGCCGGTCGTGATCTTCTTGGAGGCCTTGACCTTCTCGATCTCGACGTCAGCGCCGATCTTGGCCAGCACCTTCATGGCCTGGGCCGTCTTCTGGGTGGCCTCAACGGCGTCGTCCAGAACGAGGGGCACCTCAGGCACCTTCTCGATGCGGTGGCCGCGAGCCATCACAAGGGCGGGCACGGCCGAAGCGGCCAGGGCCGAGGCCACGGCGAAACGGCGCTGGTTGACGTTGATCTTGCGGTGCCACTTGCGCCAGATACGCGTGGGGGCGAACATGCGACCGCCACGGCACATGTTACCGAAGGCAGCCTGGCCGGAGCTCTGGTTACCACCGCCCTGGATACGTGGGATACGCGACACAGCGCGGCCCGTGCCCCACGACTCGGCAGAGTGCTGGTGGCCAGCCTCACGCGAGACACCGTAGGCCTGGCGACGGTTCTTGGCCATGTTGGTGTGCACGAAATTCACCACATCCGGACGAATGGGGGCGGTGAACACGGCCGGGAGCACCACCTGCGAGGCGACGGTGGCAGTCTCGCCCTCCACGGAGAGCACAGACACGACGGGGCGGTTGGCAGCGACGGAAGCCATGACGAAAGAGGCTGAGGAAGTGTAGGCGAACGCGGGGTTACGGCGACAATTCCAATAGTGATTGACACAGCAGCGATACTGGGAGGGGAGCAAACGCTGCAGAGCCAGTCGTTGTTTAGGAAGTCATATTAGCGGGGTGAAAGTCACTAATTATAATCCTCTAATTAATTATAGTATTAAGCGCTATAATAGTATGGGGGTTAAACTGAAGAAAGTGCTTTGTTATAATTTATCAGACATTAGAATTTATCAATTTTGCTTTTCAGATAAAAGATCGGCAAGATTGGCTACGATTCGCAAAAAGACGGATGAAGTGCTTAATTAGTCTAAGCGTGCCAGTAATAAAGCAAAACGATGATGAATAAAGAGCCTATTCTTACATGGAAAGTTCTACTACAGTAGTTACCTTCTGAACATGAGGAATTTCTTCATCAATATTAATCACGTGCATGTATCTTGAGGATCTACATTTTGTCGGATGAAGTTGGTAAACGCAAGATAATAGGCGTGATACGGGACACTCAAATGCTGAAGTATCGTCGATGCATCGGAGGCAGCCTCTTCAAAGCTGCTGAAAGCTTCCATCAGCGTCATTGCGTCCAACTCGTCGTAGCTCAGACCCGTCATTTCCTGAAACTTCCGAATGCGAAAGTCTCGAGCAAATTTGCTCACAATGACCCCATCCGGGGACTTTTTCGTATCGGTGTCCACAATATTAGCGTTCATCTCCGAGTCCGACGTCATACCTCGTCGATTCCAATTCGACGAGCCAACAGACAAATACACGTCGTCGATGATCACCATTTTGCTATGAATGTAAACGTTCAGCTTCTCCTTGATCGTGTAGAGATTGAATTTGTTCGGGAAGGCTTTCAGAAGGGGAGACACCATGTCGTACAGATATTTTTCGTACCCTGTAGCCCGATACTTGAACTCTAGAACATTCACAATGACGATGAGACGCTGAATCCTCGGCATCACTTCCATCAGTGCATCCAGTAATTCTGGCATGAGAATGAAATACTGGTCTTCGACGTAAATGTAGTTTTTCGCGTTCCTGATAGCTTTGAGGCGCGCCTGGAACAGCGAGTTCTCTCCGTGTGGAGCAAACTCCTTGTAATGTTTGTATTTGCAGCTAAAGGTTCGAACAATCTGTATGCTTTGCTTGCCCAATTTTGCTGTAGTATTACTGCTCGCGTAATCCAGCGGAGGGAGTTTCTCGTACGTCGGGTTCACGTAGTCAAGCAACTCATCGTCTAGACCTTGGCACGGCAGGTAGTCTGAGTTCCATCGAGCCAAGAAATTGTTTGCCACATCCTTAGCAGCAGGTCCGTGAATTCGCACGTGAGCATCTATCCAACCTTTGCGTTCAAACGTAATTCCGGCAGCATCTCGTATAGCTGAGTTGTTGTGGTAAATAGTATCCCATCGATCGATAGTGAAGTCGAGTCCACCCACGTACGCAATGGGCTGGTCCGTCTTACTTGACGAGCTGTTGACAGCGAAAACCAGCGATTTCTGGTGATGCGACGAAGTCATCGTGCGGACCCGGTCGTCGAAAATGTATAGTGCTTGAGCTCCGTTAACTCCAGACGGAGGAATCTTGTTGATATCATCGCGGGCTTCAATGTTGACCTTCCGATGCAAAAGATTCGACCAACCCAGGATGTGAAAACTTCCACCTCGCTCCACGACTCTAGCTATCATCTCATGGAAACCCGTTGTTGCGCCGGTAGGGTCAATGTCGGGTTTGAGCGGAACAAGACCCACTTCCCATGCTGAGAGCAGAATACGGTCCCCCGCATTTGTCGAAGTGAAATCGTCGTAAGTGGCATCGTAAAATTCGTTCGGTACTGTCAGGGATGTCACCTTGTTGCCAGTCGTGTATACGGCCAAGCCATCCCGTGGCACTCCACCTCGAGAGTTCGTGATTTCCTCTTCTGTGAGGAACCAGTCTGTAGCATCCAAGAGAGGTTGTCGAGCTGGCACGTTGGGGCTGTCACTGTTAACCACGGAGTCGTTTTGGGATGCGGACTTTGCTCCAGAGTCAGCACCACCCGCAAATAAAGTCGAGAAGGAGAATGAAGAAGCCAGTGAAGTGGCCGCCGTGGAGATCACTAACACCAAGAACGCCGAGCTGCAGACTCGCATCTCACACCAGAACCTAGCAAAGACACACTAAGTCGTTGTGGCTTGCCACGGTTACAATTAAGTAGCGGTGTCCTCGCGATCAGAGATGGTGCGATAGGAACAGTTCAGTGGTGGATTACACCGTGTAAGATAAGCGCTTAGCGGGAAGTACGACGCAGTCTTGGAGGTATGAAAGGAAAATGGGATGTGAAAAAGGGACTTAGTCAAAGTAGTCAAATTGACTGCTTCAATCAAGCTGTTTGTTTACTGTAAACTGGAACCATCGAGCTTGAATGGATGGAAGAAGCGGTTGAGAGCTCATAGTAAACAGAGCATATTTTAATGTGCTCATATACGAGTACATGCATTTAAAAATACATGCATGACCTACTACTACTATTTGCATAGGTGGTGCGTTGAGAAGTAATTACTTAAGTGACGATGTACATGTACATGTACATCAGTTGCCTAACGTGAGTGTGAGCTGTACTGTACTTCGTAATTGAAACGACAGTGAATTGCTAGCTCTGACCAATAGCGACAAGGACGTTATGATTTCCTTCCTAACCGAAACACGTTCTAGGAGTCATTGAGTCCGTGAGGCTGTCTTAGATAGCAATAGATAGTAGCGAAGAGTATCCATGCTCATTTTGTGATTAACATTTCCCAGTCTGCATGATCTAATGAGCCCGCGTCCAAAATGCAACATCTTCTTCAGCCTTGGTTAGGATTTCTGTAGTGCAGGCTAGAGGCGAGCGAACGGCCATCTCGTACACACAAGTAGATGGCTCATCCACGCTCAGAAGTTCGTCTTCTTCTCCACATTCGAGGTGCGCCAACACGGATCTAAAGGTCAATTAATAGGTCAGTCGAGCAGTATTAAAATCAACAGCAGCAACAAACGGGTAACTTACCTCTCAGGGCCCTTGTAGCACCTCTGGCCCTTTGAGTACCGCATCTTCGTGTGATCCACCTTATCATTGTCAAGTGCCCAGCCATCCCACTTGCCCAGTTTTGTATGGTCCTGCTTGATTTCTTGAAAAGCACAGAACTTGTACAGGTATTTCTGCGCACCGAATACAGCATTAAATAAGTGCATCAAAGCTCCAAACCTGCATTACATACCTCAATCCGCTTTTCAATGCATTTATCGTTCAACGCAAAGTACGCGCGGTCTGGACCGTAGTCCATTTTTGCAGCTTCGCGCTTGTCGTTTTGCTCTTTCTCCAACTTGGCGATACCAGCGTCAATTTCGCGCAGAACCTTCCGCAGTGACTCAGCCACAGGTAATTTCAACTCGTCATCTAACTTCGGGCTTGGAAACGAAACAAGTTTCGTTAGGTTTCGGATTCAAAGAGCAAACAACAAACGCAAAACTTACAATAAATAGTGGTAAGCATACACCGGTGCATCCCACACAACCCGTGCGCCCCACATCACCGAGCTGTATCCATCATAGACACTGCCTCCACCTAATTGGCGGAACCAGATTGAGCGCGATGGGTATGCGAAATCTGGCAGTTTATCGATGACGGACCCGGCAATCTCGGGGGTCGACAGCACACTCCACAATGTCCTTGGAGAGAATAATATCAGCTCAATTAGCACGCGGACAGGAGAGATAACGATACCTATTGACAAATAATATACGCGGGGTGAGAAAAGTTATTCGAACACCATAATTCAGATACAAGATGTGTTCGTACCGATCGTTCGCAGTGCATACAGTCCAATCCTCTTTCGACCTTCAGCATCGCCATTGAACAGTGGGCCCAGGAAATCTTCTCGCCGCATTTCTTCCGCAGTACGAGGAGCCCTCCTACAACCAACACACATGCACAAATCGTTAAACGGAATCCCGTTTCCACTGAGTTAAATAACGCGCACAACTTCTTGGTAGGTGCTTGTTTGTTGTGGTTCATGCGTAGATAATCCGCTAGAGGAACTCGCGTGCCGTCCGGCAACTCAATGAGGCTCTTGACAGTCTCTCTTCTGGAGTTTAAAACCTCCGACGCGCGTTCATCTTCCTCCGAGTTCACGGGCACATCATCGTCAGCCACTCGAACAGAGTCAAGTCCCTCAAACTCCAGCGCTTCAACAGCCTCTTTCTCCTTTGCATCTGAAAACTGCTGCTTGCTTGTTTCTCCATTCTCGTGTCCTTCCGCCTGTTTCTGCCTCGCAGCTTCCATCCGATACTTCTTCTCTTTTAACTCCTCGCGGTCCTTGTGCACCGTCACCCTGTCCTTCAGCAGCTTCAGCCCCGCCAGCTCCTTCTGTGTGGCCGTCTCTGCTTCTTGAGCCCCATTAAAATACTCGGCAATTTCCCTAGTAATCGTTGCCTGACGCTTATCAAAACCAGCTTTTACCACTACAAGTCGCTGCTCCGCCTCCTTCCGGTGCTTATTGGCTGCCACTGCACACGTGTTCGGACAAGAGGACTTGCCGTTTATTTCCTCGTCCGATCCATCGCAGCAGTCGCAAATGCCGTCATGGATCCGCGAAGTATGGATCTAAACAGAAGGATAAGAATTAGGCATATCGTTGCTAAAACTTAGCATAACAATTACAATCGTTCTCACTTTCCCCGGGAAAAACCCGTCGTTCTCGCAGTGGAACTGGGCGCTTATTAGGTGCGAGCAGGCAGCGGTGCCAGGCTCGTCCCGGCCGTCGTCGCAGTCGCAGAACTCGTCGTTCACTCGACTGATTGGAAGATTCGTGACCTTGCCGTTCACAACGCACGAAAACTCGGCGGAAAGGTACGTGGCCTCGTCCGAAGGGGCAACGCCGCGGATCTGAACCGAGGAGGAGGAGGTACACGAGGCAGCGGGGATCAGGCCAAGTAGCACTAGGGGCCGCAGCAAGCGCGTCATGTTGTCTGCGCCAATCTGATTGAAAAATGAGAAGCGCATTGGTTGATAGTTTGAATTTTATTGACCAATAAGAAGGCTTTTCATTGATGAAGTTGAAATAGAAAAATGTTTTCAACTTGAAGAGGTCAGTTATCCTCCGTGTGGTCGCTGTCTGCATAATGACTCTGGTATTCTTCTTCTTCTGTTGGTTCCTGTTTGCGAGCGTTGGGTTGCGTGTACATAGTGGGTCCGACGGCTTTGAATTTGGACATCTTGAAGGGATCCCGCGGGGAAGCCCTGGGATAATTGCGGATGTCTTTGCCAACAGAGCAGCGGGTTTCTCGAGGCAATGGTAGTTTCTAAAGGTGACAGGCAGCAACATTAGTCAACGATACGCTGAAGATGAATGCGTGGACGTACTCCTCTGGTCTTCATGGAACCAAGATCCGGGTAGTAGGCATCGTCGTTGCTGAACGAAGTGTATCTGGCCTGCACCAGACCCCAAATGTCTTCGGACTCTCTGTGAATGCAGATGCATTGTTAGCTATTACAGAGGGGAAAAGGAAACGTGTTTAACCGTCGAGACTCACTTTGACTTGATGCCGTAAATGGTATCGTTCGTGGGCACGAAGCCGCCTTTGCACTTCGCCGCAGGTTTTACCACGATGCCGGGGTGTTCGTTAGCATACCTGCGGTTTTCTCCTGCGCTCACGCATCTTGTGATCAACCGCTTCGCGTTAGTTTGTTACATCGAACAATGGCGTCAATCAACTTTGCTACGCTCACCCGTGAATGATAGCCTGGCGGTTGGTTTCAATGAAGCTGCGTCCGGTCGTGGTCGCCGGTGACGGTGTTGCCTGTACCCACTTGCCAATCACCTGGCCGGCATTCTCCGGGTCTCGCGGAATCTCGTAGCCATAGACGTGATTCGGGTTCTTGGCGTCCGGCAAGTCGTAGGTCGTGCGCTGGACATGACCGATAGTGCTCTTGACCATCGTCCGTCGCATGCTCAGCGGGTGGAGATCCTTCGTCATGGTCAGTCGATACCTCACTCTACTCGCAAATTCCTAAGTGCATGTCATGTCTTCGACTTGGCATGCGCCTAAAAGCGGATCACGCTTTTAGGACAAAAATAGCTTCAACAGGAGGTTGCACGAAAGGTGGTAGGAGACAAGGTTGTACGAAGAGTGCACGAAAAGTAAAGTTGCACAAAGGATCGGGGGAGAGAGGGGAGCAAGTAATAAAATGGACATACAGACGAAAAAAAACCATTAAAAATTTAATGGGTTGTTTTCGTCTGAATGCCATCCAACGGTACGGATTATTTGGGTTATTCAGAACCAACTCAAAAAAATCCAATTTTGGTCGTAATAATATAGGCCTGTTGGCTTTATAACATAGTTCCAAAATCTCGTCGTGACGTATGCTGATTGGCTCGGATGGCATTCAGAAGAAAAAACCCCATTAAAAATTTAATGGGTTTTTTTCGTCTGAATGCCATCCAAGCCTAAATTATTACGCTACCGAGCTTACCGGTAGTGTACACCGGTTATACCGATTGTATACCCTGCTCTACCGCTAATGTACTGGTACCCTACCGGGCTGCGCTCCAGTCAATTTCCGACTGGCACCGTTTTTCTCGGCGGCGTTTGCCACTCGAGTGATAAGCGGCTAGCAGAGACCATGGTGAGCAAAAAGATTGCGGCGCAGCTGGAGAAGCTGCAGGGCGATGAGTGGGACTCGGATAGCGACAGCGAGACGACGAACGTCGTCTCCAACACGTTTGACGCCAGCAATGACCTGGTGACTCTTCCCACAGCCGCAGAGGCCGCTGCCAGCGCCTCCACCGGAAAGAAGCGTAAGAGCAAGATGCAGCGCAAGAAAGAAGCTGCCGCTCTCGCCAAGGTGCAGCAGGAGGAGAAGAAGAAGAACCAGCCTTCCAACGTTATTTATCTCGGCCGCATCCCTCACGGCTTCTACGAGAAGCAGATGCTGGGCTTCTTTAAGCAGTTCGGCACTGTGCGTCGCGTGCGTCTTTCGCGCAACAAGCGCACAGGCAACTCAAAGCACTACGCTTTTATCCAGTTCGACGAGCCCGAAGTGGCGCAGATCGTGGCCAACACGATGAATGAGTACCGACTGTTCGACCACACGCTCTCGTGCCATATCGTGCCCTCGCATGCCGTGCACGAGCGCATGTTTATCGGTGCCAACAAGGAGTTCAAGCCGCTGCCCCGACAGGCCATTAACCGCAACCGCCACAACGCCGAGAAGACGTACGAACAGACCGTGATCAACAACAAGCGTCTTGTGACCAAGGAACGGCAGAAACGCAAGGTGCTCAAGGCACTCGGCATCGACTACGACTTCCCTGGATACGAGGCTCAGATGCCGGCCAAGAAACAGCACATTGCATTCACATAAAGAGTTTTGGCGTCGACATACAAGCCGAATGGACGAGCAGCTGGCGACATTTGCTTGCTTCCTGGTATTCTGACTTTTGAAACTGTCATTGCTTTGTCTTCTCTTCTAGCTACGGTTAATAGATTGTATTTCCTTGCTGCTGTTTATCAGTTTGTTTGTTTTTTTTTTTTAGCTAAGAACCTCGTCACCTTCTGTGCATGAAGACCAAGAAACAATACTACGTAGTACTAGACTACATGCAATCCCTTCGACACCACGTGCTGTACCCGCGCATACATGTTTCGAGATGTGTAGCCAACTCTAAACATGAATGCGCGGGTGAACATTTCTTCTACAAATATCTAACGCCAGCACCAACGTCGAGGCTTTCGCAGCCTAGCGCGTCGTTGTTTTTAAAGACATACTGAGGTTTCAAGCACGAACAACGTCAGCATTTTTACTGAACACTTCGAGTGTTCGAATCGTACAAGCAGCGTGCTTGTACCGTCTCAGTGTTGATGTAGAAATCTCGTTTCCTCGCATCTCAAGAAGAGACACCTCTGGTGATCGGAGTGTAGTCGGTAGACCATGCCTGCATGAGGTGGAGCCCACGCACCGAACCACCTGAAGCACTCGTTCCTAAACTTTATGTCGAAGATCAACTGAAAATGTTTACTTTCTGAAATATACCCCGCTACAGAACGTGGTCTGTTGGAGCTTTATTTTTTCGTCAAATTGTCTGTTTTGGCGAGCACCAAGAGCCGGGTTTTAGATGCAGTACTCTCACAAAGGTATTTTCAAGTCAGGAATTTCTTCGCGTCGGGCAAGCTCATCTTAGAGAAAAAAACACAAGAGCGATCAGGGCAACTTGCTTACATGCAAAGCGTTGCAGCTCTTCTTCAAACCCTAAGTTGTTTGTGCCTGTACTATACCTGGCACTATTCAAGGACAACACGGCAATGGCAATTCGCTGTGCGTATGACGAGGAAGATATAATGTCAGCACGTGTTCGCAGATCGTGTTTTTATCCATAAATACCAAAGTTGGTCAATCCCCACGTGTTGTTGTGCCACAACTTGTGGCTACCTTTCAATCCTCATTCGCACTTGAGTCGCAAAGGCACAACTGAATTAGAGCACAATGCTGCAAGCCACGACGAATAGCAGCACTCCGTGTGCGCACTCAAATGTGCCCCCCACGACGGGAACGATCGAGTTAGACGTGGTGGAGCTTTCGGATCAGGACACTTCTTCGTCCGATCCCAGGTCAGAAGATCAGCGGCTACTAAAGCAAGCCAATGACTCCGAGTTGCCAGTCAACAAGGCTTCAAAAAGTAAAGCAGCAGCAGCGCCAGTGCAGCAGACGAAGGTTCTCTTCCTCGACGGCGCTCGCGGTCTCGCAGCTATGCTTGTCGTCGCACAGCACTCACACGAATTCATGCCGGGGATTCACTACGGAGCAGTTGGCGTCGACGTGTTTTTCGTGCTCTCTTCATTTCTCCTGACGTGGATCTTTATGAAAAAGAGCATGAAGCTACTCTCACAAGGTGCCAGTCTCCGCACGTGGGCGTTCACTTTGGCTGACTACTTCCAGAAGCGCTTCTTCCGTGTGTATCCGCTGTTCTTCGTGACAGTGATCGTGCTATCTCTTATGACAACCGAAGACCAAAAGCAGTACTTTGTTGGAGAGCGCCCTCCGTTCGATATGTTCAAGACACTCACGTTCGATTATGAGTATCGCTATCATGTCTTTTGGACGTTGCCACTGGAGATCGAGTACTACTTTGTGATTCCAATCTTCGTCTTTGCCGTGCTGGGTGTGCGTCGTTTTTGGTGGATAGCCGCCATCCCACTGACTGTTTGGATCATTCATGAAGGCATATTCGTGTATCGAAGTAGCCACATGCCTATGAGGCCTCACATTTCCACTTTCCTCACTGGTTCCCTGGCAGCCGTGGCGTTCGTCAAACTGGACTTGTGGATCAAGAAGACTGAATTCGTATTCCAGTGGTGGCACACTACCGCCGTCCGAGCAGTTGAAGCTCTCGCCATTTCGATGCTACTAAGTGTTTGCTTCCGAGGACTGCTCTTCACCTGGGTGCATGCTAATCCTGCGCCTGCCACTAAAGGATCTCCCTACATCAGTGCGTTCTTGGCGATCATTTTTGTCATCGAGATGATCAAACCGTCCTGCGTATCGACGATGCTCGAGTGGAGTGTACTTCGCTTCTGGGGAAAAATCAGCTTCTCCGTCTACTTAATGCATTCGTTTGTGATCTACAATCCGACAGTGAGTGATCAAGAGAACTATTTCGATCGATTCTTCTCCAGGCTGGTCCTCACTGTGGCGCTTTCGACAGCAACGTATTACCTCATTGAGTACCCGTCGCTATTATTCGCTCAGAGAATCTCCAAGTTTCTCGCTAACGCAGAGAAGAAAAGCTCGGGAGGCTGGACAGAGTTCGCCTGCATCGAGCGGATCACGACGCGGAAGTAAACGGTAGCAATCCAGATGAAGTCTATGAGTTGTGTAATAAACCCAACGTTTCCATGGTGTGGTATTAAGATTGAAATTCCATAACGAGAAAAGTCTGGAATCAATACAGCTGAAATCGATCATACCGAAAAAACCTGGGATCAATCAAGTTGAACTCAATAATCAGACGGTTCATCAGAGCTCTTCCGTATCTAACTAACTCGACCATGAAGGGAGAACGAATGCCGCTGCTGCCGCTGCTGCCGCGCGCGTCGACGGTGGAGGAGGCACGGCAGCGCAATCTCAACAAACGTGTGAAGCTCTATTCCAAGCGGCTACGGCAGCTCTGGCCCCGCATAGCCGTCTTCTTCACTCCGCGGGACATCATCGGCCTGGGCTCCACTTGTCGCCGACTGCACCAACTGCTGGATAACGACCGCGTCTGGTGCGATCTAGATGCTGTCGTGCATGCATATATTGCTGAGCTTACAATTGTGTGCTGCCACTGCAGGCAGACGCAGTATGATCGGGTGCTGAACCAGCACGTAACAAGGCTATTGCTGCCACATCTAGAGACACGCTTCGACAATGGCCTTCCGACTAAAGAGAAACTCCGACGAGTAGTAAGTCTGGTAGTTAGAGCTACTAGGGCTTCGATTGCTATGTAATAACGTGGTACTACTATGTTTCTGTTTGAAGATCCATGCTCGACATGTCCACGATCCGACCAACGCACTACAGCTGCGGCTACGCGAGGCGGAGCGAGAAGTATTTCGGTTGGAGCTGCGGCAGGTGAGCACTGTGGAGACATACTGATAAAGTATAGTGTTGACGACACCGTTATTGCACTGTTGCAGCACAAAGTGCGTAGTGTGGTGTGGATGAACGTTCCGCTGGTCTTGGCGCTGTGCTGTTTGAGCGTGTGGAGCTACACTACTGCATCTGCAGAGGATGATTACTTGACAGACACCCCTTCAGCTCAGCTTCGCGGTAGTGAGGACGGTACTTCTCGGCCTACGGTTGTTCATCCTGTGAAGACGGTGAGCACGTCCTGCGTTACTTTCAAGTTGGTTCTATAGCTTAATTAACAATTATGTTGCTATTTTGCAGTTTATACTGGTGACGGACCTGTTGCTGTTGATTGCCGTGATGATATTGGGCGTTGGTGACTTGAATGGCAAGGCGCTGTACACTGTTGGAGTGTTGGTCGCAATTGAGGCGGCGGTAATGCTGGCTGAGTTTGTGGCGTGGTCGTCGTCACTTCAAGTTGCCCACTCATTCGTGGTGCTTGCGATCCTTATCTTCAACACTGTGCTCGTTACTAAGGAGAAGAAAGAGTACGTCCGCGAGATCGCAGCGTTCTTGCCATCCTACTAATGATCTAATTGCACAGATACGGCGTGCACAAATGCTAGCTCGGTTAATAATTAATTCTCGTACTCCTCGAAGCAGCATCCTGCCAGTCCAACAATTCCACTCGTAACCACAGGTAATTGTGGCCTACTCAATGGCCCAAACGTAGCGTTGCGTGCTACATCTGCTTCATCATACAGCACACCCGACCGCAACAGATCACTCGGAGTTTTTCGAAACAGTGTCTCTCTTAGATGCCTCTCCTCCGGTCGTTGTAGTGCCCCCTTCGGTCGGTTGGATGGGTCCTGCCGTGACTGCACCCACTTGGGATTCAACTGCTTCCTAACTTTCCTTTCACTGGCACGCGCTAGTGCACTGCCAGTCCCTCCATTTATCAGCGCTCCTTTATTTTCTTCATCTTCATCTCTCCATCTGCTCTCAAGCGCCTGTAGTCGAGCAGTTTGCAACAACTCGTGGCGTCTAGCACTGGCCTCTGTAGCTGCTATAGTTCGCTCTTCTTCCGCTAGTGGTGCCATCATTGGCGCCTTCTCCATCTCTTCACCTTGTCGCTGTAATTGCAATGCGATGATGCGACTGGAATGCTCCGCCTCGACTGCAAAAGAGTTGACACTTTGTTGTGGTTCCTCATTTTGACGGTCCATGAACGCTTTGATGCGGTCGCGACTCAGAAATGTCGGGTTCAGCCGCTTTCCGGTGACGATTGGGTGACGGAATAGCCTCTGATTGCTGCGCATGGCCATGCCGCCTCCTTCGCGCTGGAGCTTAACGTTGCGCGCGCTTTCGTCACTTAGCGCTACCAATGGGTGGGTGTGCGGAACGGGAGGAGATTGCGGAGCCGGCTCGTCGCCGGTATCCATTACAGCATTACATGCTCTTCGCAGATGTGGCGAGGGTATTCTGTGTGTGTCAGGACGTGCCTTGGGGGCCGGTGGCGGCGGCATCGGCTCCAGCTTCTCCTCTTCATCCAGCCACCTCATCGTCCAGCCCGATGTCAGAAAATTGCAATTTGAATTGCAATTTTCTGTACATCCAACTTGGATGTACAAACATGATATTTGTCTGATAAAATCCAAGAAATGCCAAACATGAAAATGTAGAGATGAACAGCGTTCGATTGCTTTGCTTCTCTTCCTAGCGAAATCTACACTATCAGGTTACGAGTACGGCAGCACATGATCGCTACCGAGCACACAGCTTAGCGGTCGTACCGGGTGGGGTTGCCTCGAGGTGGGCCGCTGGCGTTGTTCTGGCGTTGCTGGTGCATGCTGCGCAGTCCAGCCTTCAGAGCCTCCAAACCTCGCGGAGCCGGGCCGGCAGGAGCAGCGGGAGCAGCAGATCCAATGTGGTTCGATGGGTACGCCTGAGCCGGCTGCAAATTGCCTCCGAACGCAGACTGGATCGGAGCGCCACGTCCTCCTCGGCCTCCAAAGCCACCTTGGTAACCGCGTCCACCAAAGCTTCCTTGGTATCCACGACCGCCATTGCCATTGTAGCCGCCGTTGTAGCCGCCATTGTAGCCTCCACGGTAGTCCGAGCTTGGCCGGCCATAGGATGACTGCCCTCCATTGTACTGGTTGTAAGAATCGCTGTACTGGCCGCGCTTATTCCGGGGCTCCTGTGAACCCCAATTGCCGTATCCGTTGGCCATGTACTGGTTGTACTGCTGTTGTTGAGGTGGGCCACCGTAGCGATCTACGTTCAAATTGTTGTTCGCGAAGCGCTGATTGCCTTGCTGGTAGCCCTGCTGACCGTAGCCACGTCCACCATTACCACGTCCGCCGAATCCACGACCTCCAGAGCCTCCGTTGTGACGTGACATGTAGTTCTGACGCACATTCGTGTGGTTTGATGCATCGCCAGCCAGATCCACGATGTTGATGTTGGCTTTACCAAAGAACGGGATCGTGATACGCTTGTCATTGTCTGTGATCAACACAGGGCTGGGTGGTTGAGCGCCGTCCAGGATCTTCGACAGATGTGGTTGAGTAGGCGGCAAGCGGTACTGGAAACTGTAGCACTGGTTGTTCGGGATGTCTGCTAAGTGTCTCTGAGACTTCTCTGGACTTGGAACGATCCCACCGATGGGGAAGTAGAGCGCTTCAATGTAAATGAGCGTCCCGTTGAACGACTGAGAGATTCTCGGGTCGGCTTGAGCCTCAGCAAGCTCAGTCGTCGGCGGGTTCTTCGACACCGGACATTTAGTGTGGAAGAAGACAACTTCCTTGCCGAACCGCGCGTTACGCTTCTTCTCAGCTTCCGTCAGCTTCTGGTTCGGCTCCTTCATGGCTTCCAATAACCGCTCTTCGTCGATGAACGGTAGTAGAACAACCCACAGCCACGGCATCGCCTTGCCATTAGGATCAACTGGGATTTCCTTCGGGTAGAAATCAATAATGGGCGACTCGGGATCAGACATTAACCACCGATACGGCTTCGGAATAGCGTGGGCACTTCCAGCAGGGAACACGCCCATCAACTGCTCGAACGGATGGAACGGAAGTCCCTCTTCGAACTTGATCTCGAAGCGGTCGATGTTGCGTAAATCGGACGCGAAGGGGGCGTAGTGGAACGGGTAGAACCACTGCCACGAGGCGCAACCTGTGTAATAGTATCGCATTACCCAGCACAAACCTTCAATGTAGGCGTGGAAGACGCGTTCACGACCGCCGCCAACCTCGATATCATCAGCCTTCAGCTTGTCACTGTAGTAGCGAGTCTTCCAACCAGGTTCACCCAGACGCACGACGTCCTGAACCTCTTCACGGTACTGCTCCAGTTTCTTCTCCACGCTCTCTTTTACACGCGCTTTCACTGCTTCTTCCGGCGTCAAACCGCCGTACTTCTTGTCCGCAGCAATGATATCCTTATCAATACGGCGTTTCTTCAGTATTTCGACAGCTGAGTCCTTGGCTGCCGCAGCAGCAATCTGATCCTTCTTCTCATTCGACAAGCGCGACTTGCGTCTCCTCTCGTTCTCCGCCTGTTTAAGAGCACGACGTTGGAAAATGATGTCTTCCACCTGTCCAACTTCAGCGAGAATCACATCAACACGCGAAAGATTCACGTGACCTCCATCGGTGATATAACCGCCCATAGCAGGCAGCAGCTTGGCATAGATCAAGATCAAGAAGTCCAGAGCGCCATCACGAATGTCCAGTGACGGTAAATGCGGCAAGAAATCGTTACCGACAAAGAAACAGAGGAACACGAAGTCGTCGATCACTCGCTCGAAGTCGTACTCGAACGGTAGCACGCGGGACAGTGGCTCAAACTCCACCTGTAAGTATTCGCGTAGTGTCGCGATGTGCAGGTACTGTAGAGGCTTGAGATCTGAAGCCACGAGGTCTGCATCGTGTTCGCCAAACTCTCCACGCTTCCTCTTGTTCAGTGTAGTTCCATTGGCGTCCAGCACTGTCTGTTGCTCCTTCTGGCGCTCTCTTTCGTACTTCTGCTTGCCAAATAGCACTTCTTCACGTAGGATAGAGAACTTGACTTCGTGAGTAGCTAGTCCCAACATGATGAGATCGGCGTCCAGACCGTGGAGCACATGGTGCTGGTTCGGGTCATATCCAGGCTGCGAACGCTGTACGCGGATGTACTGCATGAGTTTGTGCTCTCCCTCTCCAGGCACACCGGCATCGGATAGGATGACCTTAATACTCTTCCATGCAGCGTTATTGTTAACGCGATCACGGATGTAGAAACGCAGATATTTGGCCAGTTTGGCCATAAACTTGGTGCCAGGTGTGATGACGTTCGAGTCCCAGGGCTTCTCCTGCTTGCTGGGCACCTTGTGGCCCAATGCGCTCATGTACTCGAGCGCCTCCTTCTCTACTTCCATACGTTGTTCAGCTTCCTGTGCCGAGCGGAAACGACGCGCACGCTGCTGGTTCATCTTGGCTCGAGGGGCGACACCGTCGATGGCCAGGTATAGTACGCGGCGTGGACGCACGGCAGCCACAAGACGATCCACGTAGGCCATGACGCGGCGGTACATTTCCTCCTCGGTTTTGGGCGCCTCGCCATTTTCCGGGTGTGCGCACGGATGGATCAGGCCGTTCATATCGACGTACAGATTGTCCACCTCGAAGCCGTTCGGGTTCGGGCCTGTTGTGTCTGTAAGCTCGAAGTGACGCTCACTCTCGAGCACCACGGCGCGGCTCTCCACGCAGTCCACAACACATTTCGGATATTTCTCCAGCACCCAGCGGTAGAAAGCTGGCACACCCATACTCGTCCAGCAGTCCCAAGGGAGAAGAATGGGTCAAATCGATTGGTCGGACCAATATGATGTGGTGTACAAAATATAACCTATCGAACAACATAGTGTGATGTTATGTAGTAAATGCTCGATCAATCGGAATAAGGTCTCGTAGCCATCAGGAGATCAGGAGAGCGGGCCGTATCATGGCGTCTGGGAGTCAACAGCACCAGATTCAGGTGATGCTCACGCTGCACGACGGCGAACGCTCATTCGGTATGTCTCTGGCTCAGAAGAGTCCGGCGCTTGGCCCCAAATACACGGTAGTTTCCAGCGTCTTCGCCAATTCGCCCGCCGACCGCGCAGGTGTCCGCAAAGGTTACTAAAAGCTCACAGTTGCTGACAATTGAAGTGTGCGGAGCTGACGACTTGTATATTGATTGCGCGAATCGACAGGATACGTGGTGCGAAGTATCAACGACAAACCTGTGGGCGGTCTGACGGTTGCGCAGGTCGCTAACCACTTCCGAAACGTGGGACAGGTACGCATCTCGTTTGTGAGTGTTACTGGGTTAATTGCTCTTTATGATTGATGGTTGGTGATTTTGTTAGGCTAGAATCACGCTGGAAATTGTGGAGAGCGCAGTGTCGTCTCGGCCTTCAGCTTTTACAGCGGCAGCGACGTTCGGAAGAGTTACGACCTTGCCGAATAGACCGGCAACGCAGACTGTAGCTGGTACTCCGGTTGATCAGCGTTCGACAACTCCAGTGACGGGGTTTTCTGCTGTTTCGTCAGGTAGGGCGATTGCAGCTCCAGGATCAGCATTGGCGGTCCCTAGAGTTGCAGCACCCAAGCAGCCCGTTCTGAGATTTGGAACGAAGCCTGCTGCAAAGACATTGGGATTGAAGCCGCAGACTGGGGTGGCTTCTGCTGCGACTGCTGTGGCAAGTGCCGACGCGAAAATTTCGAGTGGAATCAATTGTAAGAGTAAACCTGTGGAGCCGGTACTTCGCCTGGGGCCAAAACCGAAATCAGTGGCGTCTGGAAAAGCTGAAGAGAAGGTGACAGCCATGACATTAAGAGCAGAACCCAAACAGGTACCAGTTGCAAGGGAGCCTATTAACAGTAGGGTGCCGCAAAGCCCTGTTGCAGTGATCGACGTTTCCAGAGGTGTTGAAAGCGCTCAAACAACTAGAGGTTGGTTAATCGCTAGTATTATTACCAATGCTTGTGTAATGACAGTCCGACTAATGTTTTTCGCCTTGTTATTGCAGTTGCACAGCCAGAAAGCTTACCAGCTCCAATACCAACTCCACCAAAAGCAAAATCTACATCAGCAACCACAACAACTCCGACTCCAGCAGCGAAGAAACCGGTCTCGGTATCGACTGCAGAAGCTAGATCTACTGCTGTGGTTATGTCAACAGTGGCGCAGTTTCCATCTTCAACGGCGCCAAATAATTCATCTTACAGAACAGCTGCTAATATACAAGTGTCCACAGCATCACCGGCAAGTACGGTCAACGTACCAGGTCCCGCTCGGAGTTCGACATCAGCACTACCACAAGTTGCAGCGGCGCCTGCAGTTCATCCACCGGAACCAGCAGCGATGTCAGCACTGAGGATGCCTCCATCTCCGGTGATAATCTCACCAATGACTTCAGCAAATTCAACACCAGCTCGAAGTCCAACTCGATCAAGCGTAGTTGCACGATCTGCTCCAGCACCGCCCGTACCAGAACAATCACAAGCCACCACGAAGACTGGTAAGAAACGTGGGAGGCCGCGACGCAAGAACACAGCACCAGCAAATGGCACTACAAGTAACAAAGGAAAGGGCAAAGCCAAGAAGACTTCGAAGCACCACCAGCAAAATGACGAGATGGATTCCATTCTGGACGACGGTATGTTGCTGAATAATCAAGGTGGACAGTGAACTTTGAGGTCACTAACACTTCTCATTGTGGTCAATTGCAGACGAGATGCTCGAGTGTTATGCCTTTTCTTCGGACTCGGACGTAGAGGAATCTCCATCCGCGAGAGCTAAACGCCGCACTGCTAACGGTCGACGTCGAGGAGCTACCGACCGTCCTCGACATAGCCTTACCGTCGACCGGTTGCTTGGGATGGGATTCACACAGGAAGATGCGGAGGCGAGCGTGAAAGAAATTGGTGATGACCCAGACGCCTGCATGGTTTGGATTATTTCAAAGATCGAGGAGAGACAATTCAACGAGGATCTTAACCGGGCATCGATTCAGTCGGAGCAGTCGAAACGTGACGAAGAGAAGCGAGTGAAGAAAATGGAGCAGGAGAAAATCTCCAACGCCGAGAAATTTATGGCCCTGTTTCCGACAGTGAGTGTGTCACATTTTTATTGCGAATTTTTCCTTACTTACATTTTATTTTGTTGTTGCAGTCCTACATGGTATGTCCAGAATCCACTGCTTTGAGCTTGAAGAAGTTATTACAGTCGACAATTGATCAAGTAGATGGAGAGGCTTTTATTCGTGAGGTCTTCTCCAAACTCCTGACCCTCGAAGGGCAGTCTATCCGATGGTATAAAGAAGCTTCCAGGTCGTACATGTTGGAGCTCGCTGGACGTCTGGACACTGAATTGGGCAACCACGATATTATCACGTGCTGCGCGTGTGTCAATTCTCCGAACGATTCGTGTTCGTTCGTTCAAAAAGTATTAGAAGAGGTGAAGGCACTGACGACGGCACTGTTCGAGATGCCCACCAACCAGGGGGGCGTACCCCCGGTATTCCTTGAGTGTGACGAGACGACAAAGTTTGATCTAGAAGACGATGGCTTCGAAGTAATTGAGCTGGATGAGTAAACAAAATGTGGGGTGACCTATTTACTTGTGCGAGTAGGATTGGGGCGTCGTGTTTAATGTTAAAGGACAACGTTGTCAAGCTCGCAGTCCGTCTACTCTTCCCCATTGTTTTGTTTTCTGACATTCTCGTTTATTCTGTCACGTAAATGCCTTCTCCAGCGAACCAGAGTGTGTTCTCATCGCGCGTGGAGCTGCCACTCACTTCCTGCTGGCCGTTAATGGGGCATCGCGGGCAATTGCTGTCATCAAACCGGGACCTCGAGCTCGTGGTGAGCAGGTGGTTTGTCGCCCGGTGACGCAGACGTACGAGCTCGCCACGTTTCCAGAGTCCGTCGTCTTCGCACTGGCCCTCGGCCGAGCACTGCTGGTTCTCCTGACACTCGACGACCCACGAGTCCATTCGGTCTCCTTCTCCAGCGACACCAAAAGCGCTGACTTCCAAGTTCTGCGACGACAGCGGCGCCTTGAACATGTGTGAGTGTAGATTACGTCGCGTCTGCATGTGTTCCAGGCGGATCGTGGCTCCGCATTCAATAGGCTTGCCCACGTCACATACTGGAGCGCCGTCTCCCTCCTTGACGAGCCAGTAGCTGTTGACGTCATTGCGCGCCATGTGCGCGGTGACTGACTGCTGACCGCTGCCGCTACCATACGCGATCTCATGTGAGTGCAGACGGTAGCGACTTGGCTCGTGTACTAGCTTAATGGAGCTGCCGCACGTCACGTGCTCGAATCCTTGCGGGTCTGCAGTCAACAGAACATCATTAGATCGTCAGCAACTACAGTAATCAACTCCAATGGCCCAATTATCGGCCTTACAGCTAAGGTCGGCGGACGAGTCCTGGGCACAGGCTTCCTCGCACGTGAATTCGTGGTGGTCGCACTCTACTTCTCGAACTCGGCGACGGCCTTCGCACTCGCAGTAGCCCGAGAGTCCTGAGGCGATGCGCTTCGAGCACGCGGCGTCGTTATGCGGCTCGCGCACTCCGTGCGGATCGCAATTGGAGGTGGCACGCCACTTGACGCAATGGGTGGCGGAATCAGCCGCGATCGAGGGCAATGCACTCAGCAGCGCGAGCAGCAGCAGACGCATGTCGACGGTCAGGTGAAGTGGCTTGCGTGGCAGGCGTATCTGGCTAAAGCCACTGGGCAGACCTTCAAGCGACAGTCAAACTGTGATACTTGTGTAAGCTACTTTTTTCAGAAACAACATGATGTTGTTCGTGGTGTAGAACACAAAATCGCTGCAAGGATCATCCAAATTGGATTGCGTAATAAGTTTGGTGGGTGCTTGGTCTCACAAATTCAGAAATGAAGTGAGCTCACTTCAGAATTTGAGGCAATCAGCTCAAGTCGACCAGAGAAATCCAATATCCTTCAACCATAATGGCCACCAAGACTGTCCTGATCACCGGCGGCAACAGCGGCATCGGCCTCGCATTCGCTCAGCACTACGTCAAGCAGGGCTGGAACGTCATTGCCACGGCGCGCAATGTGGACGGTGCCGAAGAGCTAAAGAACCTCAAGCCAAGGAAGATCCTGACGCTCGACACGGGCGACGAGCAGTCGATTCTGTCGGTGGCCAAGGCGTTGGAGGGTGTGGCTGTTGATCTGCTTATCAACAACAGCGGTATCTCCATTGGCGGCGGCCTGGATGTCACCACCAAGGAGGACTTAATGCGCCAGTTTGAGGTTAACACCGTGGGCCCATTTCTCTTGACTCGAGCGCTCCTACCCAACTTGCGCCTCGCAGTGGCCGCCCATGGCCAGGCCTTTGTGGCCCAGATCACCTCACGAATGGGCAGTATCGCCGACAACGGCTCAGGCGGCTCGTACGGCTACCGTGCGTCCAAGACGGCGCTCAACATGGTTACGCAGAGTCTGGCTCTTGACCTTCAGCAAGAGAAAATTGGCTGTCTGCTGCTGCACCCGGGGCATGTTAACACGGCTATCATAAACTTCACTGGCACCGTGGAGGCTGACGACAGCGTTGCCGGCATGGTGCGCATCATTGAGCGAGCCAAGCTTGGCGACAAGCTCGTGATGTACCACTTCGAGAAGGGTGACGCGCTGCCTTGGTAAGCTGCTGCCTGTACATGTGACGTGAGAATATCTTGACAAAAATGTAGCTCGGGATTAATCCGCATCAACCAACAATAGGCAACACGATTTTCATCACTGCAGCATATTGCGGCGCATTCTTTACTTTGCACTCAGACAGCATACTTGATAGAAGTACTACGTAGTACAAGCTGATCTGCCCGCAAGCATTTTTATTTTATGACGACGCTACCAAACTGCCAGTCTTGACAAGACTCTTGTGGCAGTATATTACTGCAATAGGTGGTGCTGTATGTATAGCACTGAAACGCACTGGTAGAAGATGCTAGACCAGACTGCTACTGGATCAGTAGCTAGGTGAGCTCGTAACTTACGAGCCGTAAGATCTGGCCTCGATGCAAATTGCAGGGGTTTCGTGATGCAAAATGTTGCTTCGCTTTCAAAAATTTTCTGAAAACGTCATAAAGCACTTTTCCTAAAAAAAAAAAAGTTCTTGCCTTGACTGCTCATAGCTTGTGGCCCACCATAATAAAAAAGAGATCAAAAGTGGTCCGAAACCAATGCGCACTTTTTCTATACAAAGTACTTTTTATTCAAAAAGCAGTTATTCTTTCGTGCAACATTCATTTCATGTTTACCACATCAATTTCCTTCGAGCAACCTTGCTCGCGCGCATTTTCTAACAAGTACCGTGCCCCCGTCAAAATGGTGCAGTGGATGACGGTAGCGCAGAAGTTCGAGCTCATTCAGAAGCATCGACAGAACCCTTCATTGTCCACCCGCAAGCTTGCGCTGTGGGCGCATGAGGCCTTCAACCTCCCGACGGGACCCACGGCCGCGACCGTCTCGCGCGTGCTGAAATCAGCCGAAGAAATCGAAGACAAACAGCGTCATGGCATCACTCGCAAGGGCCACGGCGTGTCGTGCCCCGAGCTTGATGTGGCGCTCAAGCTCTATGTTGACAGTTGCGTCCAGAACCACATGCATCTCACACGCCGACTCCTAGTGGACAAGGCGCGTGAGATCCTGGCCACCATCCCCGACGCGCCGACACTCAATCTCTCAGACGGATGGCTCACCAGCTTCATGCGGCGTCACGGCATGGGATTGCGGCCGCGCTCGCTGCAGACGGACGGGGAGGGAGGCGACTCGGAAATTCAATTCGAGCCAATGATGTCCACGAGGATCCAGGCGGCCGCTTCATCCTCCCGACCAGGAGGGCGCAAAGCAACGTCCAATACTCAGAGACGTACACGTCCGATGCAGTTGGGGCTCGTTACGCCACCGCCACCGGCGCCTCAAGCGCCAGCCCCGGTCTATACTGGGCCCAAGAGAACAGTGCTCATCACGGGGGCTGACAACTGCACGGGGGTGGCTTTCGTTCAGCACTATATGAGGGAAGGATGGGACGTCATCGCGGCATGTCCTGAAGGCGAAATGTGCTTCAAGGTGATGCAGTTGGCTCCCTGGAAGATCGTGGCCATGGATCCAGGGTATAAGGATTCCGTGGATGCTGCAGCGGAGGCACTGATGGACGTACCCATTGATCTATTGATCAACAATGCCAGACTGTTCACCAAGGGATACATGCACTCAACAACTCCCGAGGATTGCATTCACCAGTATGAAGTGAACGCTCTTGGGCCTTTTATTGTGTCGCGTGCGTTGCTCCAGAACTTACGCCTTGGAGTCCGTGATCGCGGCATGGCCTTCGTCGCGAATGTGTCGTCGCGTGTAGGCAGCATCTCGGAGAACTTGGCTGGCGGTTCGTACGGATTCCGAGCATCTATGAGTGCGCTCCACATGTTCACGAAGACTTTGGTGGCGGATTTTCTGCCCCACAAGATCGGATGTGTATTGCTACACTCCGGAATTGACGACAAGCCCGACGGAGTCCCCTCTTCGGCTGACGTTCGACCTGAGGAGAGTGTGGCTGGAATGGCTCAAGTTATCGCACGTACGAGACTGGGAGAGCCGCTGCATCTCCGCCACTTTGGCAACGGTGACGCTATCAATTGGTAAGAAATAATTGTTCAAGTGCAAGCAAGTTGTCTATATTATTATTTGGCGTCGTGCACAAACAACCAAAAGTCTCTTTTTCATCCTCCGCTTACCGCTTCTTGATGATTGCTTTGCTTCTGGTAGGAGCACCGTGACTCTTACCCTTGATGTTGCCCTTGCCACGCTTCGACTTGACGCCAGACGTGACCTTGACACCACGCGAGCGAGCCTTGCGCTTCTCCTCCTTGCGGATCTTGCCCTCACTCATCAACTCGTCCTTGGCGTGTTTGTTCACACCGCTGCGCTTAGCCATGACAGCACCACCACGCGGCTTCCTGCCATTACGGTAGTCAAGCTTGCGACCTCCAGTGTCGTCGTCATCCATCTCAACGCCACCGCCAGCCACGCGCTTGTGCTGCTTCTGCTGCCACTTCCGATACACCTCACCCACTTGCTGTTTCTTGCGTACATTGACTCCACTCTCGTTACGGCGCTTGAGTGTTCCTTGACTCGTGAGTTCACCTGCAGTAGTCTTGACGAACTTCTTCTTCCGGACATCCCAGTGCAGAATGCGACGCTTCTTATTCATCTCAATGGCCTCGTCAGGGTTCACGTCCAGGATGGCTTCTTCCAGACGTGCTTCAGCAAAGGCATTCACCTTGCCACCATCAGCGTTCTTGGCTAAGAAGCCTTCGGTCGTGTAGTCTCCGTCCTTCATGTAGCCGATGTAGTTCTCATCGTCCTTGAACGTCGCGCCTTCACCCTCTTCCGGAGACTCAGTATTGGCCGTTCCTTGTTCCTTAGCAGCCGCAAACTCCTTCATGACATCCTCCTCCTTCTCACCAGCTGCCACACGCTTTTTAAGCTGCTTGCGCTCATGTTTGGACAGGAAGAACGCCTTCTTCTTAGGAGCTGGAGCTTCCTCTTCAGCCTCTTCTTTGTTGTCCTCATCGTTCTTCGTGCCCGTCAGTTTATCGTCCGTAGCATCCGCAGCTTCCTCGTTCTCAGCCGCAGCGTTAAGTGCAGTAGCCTCCTCCTTCGCCTTGGCCTTATCAGCAGCTTTCGTCGTCTCCGTTGCGATGATCTTGCCATGCAGTTTCCGTTTCTTGACCATCATTTGAACACCCGGAGATGAGCGCTTGGCCGAAGAGTGAGCACCTGCAGCAATCTCGAAGATCGTCTGAGGCGGCCGGAACGTCTGGAGCGAGTCAATGTACGCAGCCTTGTCCGCCTTACTCTTGTCGAGCACATATTCCTGCTGAAACAGAGGATGTACCTTCTTCACTGCAAGCTCCTTGCCGCGACGAATAGAGTTCTTGGACGGATCAGCGCGAGTCCGTGCGTACGCCTTGTAGGCGTTGTCACAGACCTTAACAAGCGGCGAAACCTGTGGATGGCTGCGCATTGTCTCCTGGATGGCTTCATTCTCCTGATCGATCAACTCATTGGGGAATGCACCGTAGTGCACGTCCTCGACACGCATCGTACTCAACGAGTATGGCTTGGTAGCGGCACTCTCCTCCGGCGACGAGTCTTCAAGACGGCGTCCGATATACAGATGCAGATCAACCATAAACGGCGTCTCATCCGGATCCACAAAGCTGAACGCTGTACCGCTGCGACCTGCACGCGCTGCACGACCGACACGATGCACGAACAGCTTGGCTGTAGGCGGGAACGAGTAGTTCAGCACGTTATTCAGTAGCGGGATATCAATACCACGCGCTGCCACGTCCGTTACGATCAATAAACTCGTCTTCTTGGCTCGGAACTTGCCCAAATTGATCTTCCGTGAAGCTTGGTCCATGTCACCGTAAGCGCACGAGGCTTCAATATGATTCGCTGCCAGCAACGCATGTAAGAACTCGACGTGGTGCCGAGTCGCTGCGAAGACAATGGTCTGTTCTCCTTTGGGTAAGAACTCGCGTACCATGTACAAGAACAACGCCGGCTTGTCCAGCGATCGCACTGTAAAGAACGCCATCTTAAGGTTCTCCGAGATCTTGTTCTCCACGTCCAGACGAATAAGTTCCGGGTCGCTCAGACCAGCGCGTGCAAACTGCACTAGAGCCTTCGGGAGAGTAGCAGAGAACAGCAAGGTCTGTCTACTAGTAGGCATATTCTTCAGAATCTCCTGTAGCTGTTCAGCGAATCCCATCTCGAAAATACGGTCAGCTTCATCGAATACCACGTACTCGACTGCCTTTAGGTTAAAGTCTGGGATCTCCTGTAGGTGGTGCATGAGACGACCAGGTGTGGCCACCAGCACGTCCGGGTTGGCTGCGATGGCTTCGAATTGCTGGTCCATTCCTTCACCACCAACGATGAGCGCCATTTTAAGCGACGTGAACTTGGAGAGCTGCTTGGCGAATCGCAGTGTCTGCACTGCCAACTCGCGCGTGGGTGAGAGCACTACAGCTCGCACACCGATCTTGGTCGAGTGTTCCTTAAGTTTCTCCACCATGGGGATAAGGAAAGCGGCGGTCTTACCGGATCCCGTACGGGCCATGGCTACACAGTCCTTTCCTGATAGTACGATGGGCAGCGACTTGCGCTGGATGGGCGTAGGCACCTTGTAGCCCATGGCCATGACACCGCGGAACACCGGAGGACTCAGTCCAAGGTGCTGGAAGCCGCCCACACCCGCACCTTTGCCATTACTCTTGCCGTGGGTCGTACCTGCATCTGCACCGCCTCCGGCGCCCTTCTTCTTGCCTTTCTTGAGCAGATCGTCACCCGCCATTGCAGCTCACAGACAGCGGATTAACGAGTGTAGCTCTTCAGCAAGAAAGCACTGGAAGGCAGGCACTAAGCATGAACAACGTTTGATTGGATGAAAAGAGGCTTTACGGACGTATGTGATTGGTCGTTTTTATAAGAACTGCAGTTGAATTTCAAGTTCTCTTTTCAATTCAGTTTTTTACTCACATTTTTCGAATGTCGCTCGGGAATCGCACGGATCCTGAGGCGGCGGCGCATGACGAAGGTGACTGGGCCGCTAGGGGCGATGACGCCGCTATATTGGCGTCTCCAGATGGTCAAGAAGCTGTAGCTCCACCTGCGTCCACCAATGGTCAAGTGAATGCAACAAGAGACCGCGAAGAGGAAGACACTCGCGCCGCAGACCTGGCCGTGCTGGGTGACGCCTGTCCGATCTGTCTACAGACACTGGAGGGCGCCGTGATGCTTACGGCCTGCTACCACGTATATTGCTTTGAATGTTTGAGCACTTGGGTGCACAGTCTGGCGCTGCATGGCGTAGAACCGCCCACATGTCCGCTGTGCAAGAATCCATTCCAGGACGTGTACGCCAACGTTCGGAGCGAGACGGACTTTGAGCTCTTCCGCTTCCAGGGGCGACGAATACGGGATCACGAGAGCAGGGACAGACAGAGAGACGACAACGATAGCAATCGACAGAGACTCAGGCGGCGTTCACTTGTGTATCGACGGCACATGCGCCTCGTTCGAGTGGCTGGCAAGCAAGTTGAAGACTCGCACGCATACCCAAAGATGCACAAGGTCAAAGGAGAGTACGAAGCTTGGCTCGAGAGAGAGTTGAGGGCATGTATTGGACGTGATATCGATCTGACGGTGCTGCTGGCGATCATCCAGTGCTGCCTCAATAAGATCGCACATTGTGGGCCAAAGAAATGTTACGACGAACTGCAGCAAGCGCTCACGCCGTTTTTGTACGAAGATGCCGAGCATTTTGTGAGAGAACTCGCTTACTTTTTGGGCTCTCGGCTGAACGTGGAGGCATACGACGCTGCTGTTGAGTATCGATGCGAAAATGCTGCCGAGTGTACAAATGCACTATGCTGTGGCCGATAATCAGTGTAAAAATGTATGCGCCGAGGCGCTATAGTTTCGTGAACTACATAGTGTAACCAGTTGAGACTACCGCCGTGACGTTGGGTTTACTACCGGTGCCACCTTGAGACGTTTATGCCTTGCCCAGAACGAGAGCAAGCAGAGCCATACGTACATACATGCCGTTCTCCATCTGACGGAAGTACGCAGCACGCGGGTCATTATCGACCTCTTCAGCGATCTCGCCAACTCGAGGCAGCGGGTGCATGATGACCATGTTGGACTTAGCGTCCTTAATGGTGTCCAGCGTGATGCGGAAGCTGTCTTTCACAGCGTTGTAGTCGCCCTCGTTCTCAAAGCGTTCCTGAATACAGTCAACCGGCATGAGTCTTATGTACAGTCAACCATGATCCGCACCGCTCACCTTCTGCACGCGTGTTACGTACAGCACGTCGGTCTGGTTGATGACCGACTCCAGGTCAGTGGTCTCGTTCTGCTCAATGCCCTGCGCAGCTAGCTCATCGTACACGTAGCGCGGCATTTTCAGGCTCTCGGGTGACACGTAGTTGAAGGTGGTGCCGTACATGGCCAGCAGCTTGGACAGCGAGTGCACGGTACGGCCGTACTTAAGGTCGCCGACCATGGTGACAACCTTACCCTTGAGGTTCTCCAGATCACCTAGTTCGCTGTAAATGGTGTAGAGATCCAGCATGGCCTGGGTCGGGTGCTCGCCGACGCCGTCTCCAGCGTTGAGTACGGGCTTCTTGGTAGCCTCGGCTGCTACCAGAGCGCTGCCTTTGATCGGGTGACGGAGAACAACTACGTCGGCGTAGCACTCAAGACAGCGGATGGTGTCATGCAGCGTCTCGCCCTTCTGACTGCTGGACGAGGTCTCATTGACGCACACCACGAGCCCGCCGAGACGCTTCATGGCAGCCTGGAACGAGCTGCTCGTGCGCGTGGACGGCTCCATGAACACATTGGCCAGGAGCTACAGCAACAGAGTCAGCATCAATACCTCAAAACACAATCGTATTGCAGTGCGTACCTTGCCCTTAAGAAGGTCATTGGCGCCTTGCGTCTTGACCATCTTCTTCATCTCATCGGCCACGCTCAGCACGCGTCTGTCAATTAGAACATCCGTGTGAGCAACGCAAATGGATCAATTGCTGTTGATTGCACGTACTGCGCGCTCTCCTTGCCGAACTGTGCAATGGACAAGATGTTCTCGCCCTCCCAGGCACCCACCGCCGTCTTGCCGTCCAACTTGCGCGCCATGATCACTCCGCCGTCGCTTCGTCTGATCCAGTCGCGTGGCTCGGATCTTGAAGACGATGATTGGACGAGTCTACTATATCATTCCGGTAAAGTCCGACGTAATTCCTCTGGTCAGGAATGCGTACTTATTGACCCCCTCTTACTATGAGCGACCACGAGCAGCATGACGAGCACGAGCGCGAGCACGAGCAGGGCGACAACGAGCCCAAGAAGGGCAAACAGGGCTCAGGCAAGCGGCTAAATGACCGCCAGCGCGTGGATATCATCCAAATGGCTGAGAACAGTAAGATCTCCAAGCGCCAATTGGCTGAAAAGTTCGGCGTGAGCGAGGCAGCGATCCGCAAGCTTTTGCGCAAGAAGGACGACTTTCTGCGGCGCTACTACGATACGCCCGAGGAGCTCCGTGACCAGCGTCTTCGCGGCAAGAGCACACACGAATCGGACAGCAGCGGCGTCGGTGTTGGCAACGGCAGTGGCTCGGCACCGTATTCAGGCTCTACCACGCCCAGAAGAGCTTCGCTTGGCAGTGGCTACCCACACAACAAGAGTATGTACCCACCCGATGACCCGTGGAAGCAAGGGCTGCACGCTATGCTGGCTAAAGTCACTCCTTTCCTTAAGAACTTCACACAAACCAAGAGCCAGCATCACACGCTCGATACCGCGCTGGCTGCTGATCAGACAGGTGCAGAAGCTGCTCCTAACGATGAAGATACTGAAGAGCTGGACTGGATCGGCTTCTCGCGGATGCTGCGTGACATCCGACGCGCGTTCCATCGATACCCGGAGACAGGATACCAGGAGTTCCGCACTCAGGCATTTATCAGGCGGTTCTGCGAGCAGGCGCTGCATATCCCGGGCAAGAACATCCGTGAGATGGCATCTACCGGACTTATCGTAGACGTTTGCTACGATAACGCCACTATTTCTTCCTCGGACAAGCGCAAGCTGCCTGTACTCGCCTTCCGTGCTGACATGGACGCGCTACCGATTGAAGAGCTAAACGACCATTTGCCCTACTGTTCCACTCAAAAAGGTGGACACAAAGAACTTCGCAAACGCAAGAAAAGAAAGAGTTCAACGCCTCAAGCTTCTTCACCCAAGAAGACACAGGAGGAAGACCACGCTGGAGAGACTTCCAGTGACGTGAGACCCGATGTGAACATGGATACACCAACAACTCTGCTACCTGCTCCGTCAACCATCACAACCACAACCATCGGAGCTCCGCCTGCACCCAATGCTGGCGACGATGACGAGGAGTTCCAGATCTCTACTGCTGCAGCGCACATGTGTGGCCACGACGGTCACATGGCGATGGTATTGGGACTCTGCGCGATGGTAGTGCGTAGTGCGCACATGCTTCCTCAGGATACCTTTGTGCGCTTCCTGTTCCAACCTGCTGAAGAAGGCCCTGGTGGCGCCATGAAGATGATCGAGGATGGAGCGCTTACCGATGTGGACGAGGTGTACGGATGCCACAACGCTCCTTTCCCGTTGTACAGTATCCATGTGCGTCCTGGAGCGGTCATGGCGCACGAAGTAGAGTTCTCTATCGATATCCACGGCATTGGAGGCCACGGATCTGCGCCGCAGCAGTGTGTGGATCCGATTCTGGCAGGTTCAGCTGTGGTGCAGGCCCTCCAGTCCGTTGTGAGTCGCTCTCTGTCGCCTATGGACACGGCCGTGGTGTCGGTCACTCAGTTCCGCGGAGGTGACGCGAACAATGTGATCCCGTCCCGCGTGTTCCTGGGCGGCACCATCCGTGACTTTGATCTCCAAATTGCCGAAAAGATCAAAGAGCGTGTGGCCAAATTGGTCCATTCCACGTGTGCAGCTTACGGTGCTACGGCCAGCGTTCACTTCCTGGATGGCTACGCTCCTGTTATTAACCCGCAAGTGGAGACTCGACAGGTGCAGCAGATTGCGATGGACATGGGGTTGTATGTGAGCGAGGAAGGTTTACCGCTTATGGCGGCTGAGGATTTCTCGTATTTCCTTCAAGAACGCAAGGGCTGCTACTTCTTCTTGGGCACAAGAGAAGACGGAGACCCGGAGAAGATGCGCGCGCTGCACTCGAACCACTACGACTTCAACGACAAGGCCATCCCGCTCGGCATCCGGTTGTTCATGGGCATCTTGCAATCGCGTTTCAAGTGCGAATTGTACACGTTCGAGGAGATGCAGGCCTTCCAAGTGGCCATGGAGCGCGTTATGATCAATGTTACCGTTGTGTAGCCATATTGATGCAAGAAGGACGCTGGTGGACACCTTGATAAATATACTGTTTCTCATTGGCTAAAAAGACATTTGTTTCAACGATTATTTGTGACGCACAAATTGTAATTGGCGCCATGGCGGACCGGAGGCTCAGCGGCCGGCAGATGATGGAGTTGTTCTACACGGAGGTAGAACGACCGCCTCTTACTGATGGCATCGAAGAGGAGGTGGATGCTCCCACTCTGTTCCGTTGCAAGTGCGGCAAGACGCGCGCTCAGCGACTCAAGCACGGATATACGAACTTGGTGCAGCACGTGCTGGTTAAACACTCGGATTGGGTGGCAGCCGCCTCGCGCGAAGCCCACCCGAGCCCCGTTCCTGCATTGGCCAATGGTGATAAGTCCCCAACACCTCCAAAGAAAAATGGTAAGGCAAGGGCACGCGCGGAGACTGGTGAAGCGGAGATCAATGGAACTGCATTGGGCAACAATGATACCGTCGGGGACTCGAGCGAGGACGAGACCAAACCAGAGACGCAGGAACCGGCGACGATACAGCAGGTTACTGCGTCAGTGGGAGCTCAAAAGCGCTCTGACTATTTGTCGTGGGACGACTACTTCATGAGTGTCGCCTTTTTGAGTGCCATGCGCTCGAAAGGTTTGTAAAAGTTTTGCAGTTGAACAAATTTTGCTTGTATATGCTAATTGACGTGGTGTGTGGTGGTAGATCCGTCGACTCAAGTTGGAGCGTGGTAAGACCTCCGTGCAATGTGAGGCTGACCTTTTCTGGATCTAACATGTTCATTCCAGCATTGTGAACCCAGAACGGAAGATCGTTGGTATTGGTTACAACGGATTCCCAAATGGCTGCGGTGATGATGATTTGCCGTGGGCACGTGAGAGTGCAACCAGCTCACCGCTCGATACGAAGTATCCGGTAAGGAAACACGTTCTCGGGTTCATGTCCTGTGAAGACTAATTTGGCGTTGCGTTCAGTATGTTTGCCACGCAGAGATGAATGCCATTTTGAACAAGAACTCTACCGACGTCAAAGGATGCACGGTAAGTAAAATGCTTGTGCAGGATATCTTTGACGTAATCTAACTTTTGCCATTCCACGCAGATTTACGTGGCACTTTTCCCTTGCAACGAATGCGCCAAGCTAATCATTCAGGTAATGATTCTAAAGTGAAAAAAAAAAAAATGTTACTGACAGCGATTAACGATGTTGGTGTTGCTGTGCCTATTCAGAGTGGCATCGCACGCGTCGTTTACTGCTCCGATAAATACAATAGCGAGTACGTTGACCGGCAGTATTCTCTAGTACATCTACAATCTCTAACTTTGGGGCTCTAACGTGGTTTATTGCCTTACTTGCAGCTGGAAGTTCGTGGCATCCCGTCGGCTCTTGGACATGGCCGGTGTGCAGTACACACAGCACAAGCTTCAGCTCTCAAAACTCGTCATCGACTTCACATCGGTCATGTAACAGTCGCCATCACACGTCAAGAAAAAAACTTCAACACGACAGAAAAGTGACCAAAAACCCAATTACCATCGGCCCTGCGATCGGGTAATGCATAACATTGGCTACAAGTTATAGACAAAAAGAAACTCTTATCGAGTGAGTTTACTCGGCGGCCTCCCACTGCGAGACGACGTCGTTGGTGATGGATCCGCAGCTGAAGTCGAAGTCATCAGTGCCGATCTCAATGACCTTAACACCGTAGTCCTCATCAATGATCGTCACGTAGGTGGCGGGGCCGTCGGTGGGGCGCTTGGCGAACTGGTCGTTACCCGGGTTGTACTTGCCGTCGTAGAAGTAGTAGTGTGTGGCCAAGTAGCTCGTGTCCTTCTCGAGCACTTCCACAACGTCGAGCTCACCGCAGCCACCGGCGGGGCCCTTGCCACGGCAGTTGCAGCCGTACTGGCCCGAGTGGGTCACCTGGTCGGGGAGGATCCAAGCGGCGGGAACGTTCGGGGCACCGCCCTCCTCCATTGACAGCTTGGTGATGAAGATTTTCTTACCACCAGTCCAGCCCTGGAAGGCCGTGCCATCGTTGTCATAAGCGCCCTCACACTCGACATCGACACCGCACTTGTTCTCCGTCATAATGTGCACCTCAGCACCCGTGGCCTCAGAAGCGACGATCGAGCCTCCACCAGGGTTGGAGGCCGAAGCCAGAGTGCCACTGAAAGGGGTTGACTGCTGAGCAACACCCGTGCCGTCGGCCTCGCAGAATCCTTCGGGTGAGCCACCACCGGTGTAGTCGATGTTCTCGTTGTTTAGGAACACCATGTTGGTAGCGGCACCACCATTCTCGTAGGATGAGACCTTTACCCACGTGCCGTTGGTGTTAACAAACACACCGATGTTGTAGACGGTCATGGGACCACGGAGAGCGAGCGTGACACCCGTGTCAAGTGGCGACACTGGGCTCGAGGTGGTCACTGGAGTCTTGGAGCACGACGCGATGTCCGTCACCTGGTCGTATGAGCCAGGGCCACCGCAGTTAACACCCGTGTACGAGTACGCGTGCGAGACCGTGCCGGCCGTCGACTGCTCGCCGCCCGAGATGGTCGACTGCTGCGTAGTTTGCTGCGTGGCGTCATCCGAAGTGCTGGCCTCGCCGGCCACAGCGCTGCCCTGCTGCTGGGTGGTATCGTCCTGCGTCACGGGAGCCTCAGTGTCATCGACCGGAGCTTCGGTCGCTGGCGTCGCCGGGGCATCGGTCACCGGCGTCACCGGGGCCTCTGTTGCCGGGGTGGCGGCCGGAGTCGCGGCAGGAACGGGGTCCATATCACAGATCTTGCCGGCGCCGGCCGAGACGGCGCTGGCCATGGCCGCGGCCATGAGGAACATGCCGTACACCTTCATGATAGTAGGGAGCGAGTGCGACCGAAAGAGGTTGTATCTGCTTGCTGACAGCAAAGCAAATTGTCGAATGAGGCTGCGGAAAAGGCTCGGCACAGGATAAGAGCTGTAGGACGGTGGCGATGAAGAATCCGGTCATAGGGCACAAAGGAATCCGGTCAATCCACAGTTGTGCACAAACAGACAAGCAAGACGTGCAATCGGTGCCGCCAGTCAAAAAGCAGCCATTGCCAGGGGGGGGGGGAACAAAGGCAACTGAGCCCATCTGTCGCCACGTACCCTGCCTGCAAATGACTTGCTTTTTGTAAGGGCGCGACTAGACAACCGCGAACACTGAGAGACGATTTGTCCACTTGGCGCAACAGAGACGGCGCTAAATCTGACTCTCTGGGTGTTGGGGACAGCAGCGACAACTTGCTGATGCTGCCTTCAGCACCGAGTTTGTGCAGCAGGGGGTTCGCCGCACGAGGGGACGGCTAGGTGCAATTTCAGGCTCGACGATGGATCGCCACGACGGGTGGGTGCGTGAGGTGAGCCTTTCCACCATGGGCAAACGTATGGCCTGGCTCGGAATCCTTGTGTGCCTGCAAATTGCATCGAGAATCTCTCATCATTGAGAATTGGTGACAGTCCGCCAGCTTTGGAAACCTGCGGCGGCAATGCGAGCTCTTCTGGCGCGAATTGGGACACGCGCAACAACACAAATCTATTGTTACCAAATTTCGTTGCAGGTGTTCTCTGTTCTCCTCGCGTACCCCCTGTGGCCTGTAGAGCTCACTGTTGTAGCAATCGCAGTTCGTAGTTATCACCACCGTTTGCAGCACAGGTCAAGTTTTATTATGGCAACTCCGCAACCAAGTCGTCCACGAAGGCAATTGAAATACATGTGGGTGAGATGTCTCCAGCAACTGCGAGCGGTGGCACAAAGGGAGTCAATGCGTCCCCAAACTTCGGAACTACTATTATTATTTTCCCAACGCTCTGCATGCAAAAAGTCTCTTTCTTGCGTCGCCGTCGTGCGGCGCAGCGCGACATGGCGAAACGGAGGGTTCACCGTTTTGCTAACCGTGCAAGTTGAAGTCGGATGCCACATCGTAGAAAGGAAGTTCACTTTGTCAGTCGCAAATCTGTAACAATGTTTTATTTCTTATTTCTGGCAATTTGCCGCTGCCAAGTGAGCTACATGTAGTTGTCATTCACATCAAGCCTACAGCCATCGCAATACTTCTTGTAGCAGAGCTGACATTCTCCACACCTACAGGTGACGAGCACGGACACTAGCGAGCGCCTCCTTCTCCGGAATCTGCACCTTGTAGTCCACCGCAGCATCGATGCGAGCCTTGATCTCGGGAGTGATCTTCTCCACGAATCGAATCGCCTCTAGGTTCTCGTCCAATTGCTTCCTCGTACGAGCTCCCAGCATGACCGTTGACGCATTCGGGTTCGACACGCACCAAGCGACAGCCATCTGCGCAAGGGAGCAGCCCAGCTCGTCCGCGATCTTCTGTAGCTCAAAGGTCTTGACAACGCGGTCACGGAAGTCCGGCACCATTTTGTTGTAGAACTCCGTCGAGAATCGAGAACCCTCCGGAATATCCTTCGTGTACTTGCCGGATAGCACACCGTACCCCAGGGGCGAGTACGTCGTCAAGCCCAACTTGTACTTCTTGTACAGATCCAGGAAACCGTACTCCACACGAGGACGGTCGAAGATGTTATACTTCGGCTGTTCCACCACGGGACGGATCATTCCTAGGCGGTCGGCGATCTCACAGGCCTCAGCGATATCCGCTGGCATCCATTGACTCGTGCCCCAGTAGAAAGCCCAACCTTGGTTGATGACATAGTTCATCGCACGTACTGTTTCTTCAATGGGCGTAAAGTCATCGGCGCGGTGACAGAAGACCACATCGACGTAGTCGAGCTGAAGCCGCTTGAGTGAGGTGCTTGTGACTCAGTCCCTGGTCGTTGGGGCCCGTTTTCGTGCCGACGTGGATCTTGGTGGAGATGACGAGGTCTTCGCGGGCCCAAGCTTTTTCCTGGATGCCCTTCTGGATGGCGCGACCAACAATCTCTTCAGACTTGCCGCCGATGTAGCACTCAGCGTTGTCGTAGTAGTTGACGCCTCTCTTGAACGCTTGAGTCATGATATCGTACCAGCCTTCGTCGGAGCAGCGGTCATCCCAGGTCATCCATGCACCGAGGGAGATCTTGGAGACCAGGAGACCCGAGTTGCCGAGGAAACGGTAGGTCATCTTGGCTGGGGCGGAAGCGCTCATTGTTGGTATTGCAGTCGGATTGTTGGGGTACAACGAAAAATGAAAGTGAGCATTCCTGTCCTGGAGAGGAAAGTTCACTTTTCATTAGGAGAGGCTCTCCTCCTGGCTCAGTTCATGCGAATTCGAATGCCCCACAATCTTGGCATTGACGAGCCACCAGGATTATGAAGTCGCAAAGATTATGACGATCACTTCAACGTGTGGATACGGATAACTTCACATGTAGTATGTATTATGAAGTCAAGCGGTCTGCATCATCACTATGAGATATTACAGTAGTACGAAAGTGCAGAGGGACTCAGAAGTAGGCCGCGGTTTTCTGTTGCAGAAGGCTCCACTGGAGTAGGGTGAATCAAAACTCGACACTATAACCGAAGTTGCGGGACCTAGGACGCTGTGTCGGGTACGAAGCAGTCATCACTATTCACGAATAATGGCGTGTTCTACGGTCGCTGAGCTAGCCTGCAGTGCAGGCCTGCTCTGGAAGGGGGGGGGGGGGGGGTCATAACTCCCGTTTGAAGCTTATCAACTTTCGCCATCCTTTGCAGGAGTTGTGAGCTCGGTCGCTTTTCAGAAGATAGATGCTCCGATATTTGAAGTATTCACTCCAATCCTTTGTCCTGAATACCCGCGGCAGCCATTTCCCTTCCTCAGAACGACATATCCTTATGTGCTTTAATGTCTTCCTCGCTGTACACCAAGCTCTCTCGCAGTCCTGTGATTGCTGTAATAACCTTAAACTTGGCTCGTATACGTAGCAGCTCCTGCATCATGTCCTCGTCCACCACATTCTGCAGCACTAACTCAGCCACCATCACCCGTAACTTCGCTTCTTCATACTGACACGCACCTTCAGCTCAAACGCTTCGAGCAGCGCGCCAAACGACGCAACTGATTTAGCTGCTCGAGCCCTGTCCAACCAATTGATACTTTTCAGTTATGCCGCATCACTGCGAGCGCCATTGACGAAACACCCACGGGAGTTTGCTCTTGAGCTCATCGCTCTGCAGCATGTGGCTCCACACCAAATGACAGCCCTGGTAAAAGCCCAGCTCGCTACCGATCTCCGCACCCTTCATGACGCTACGATAGAATACCAGATTAGTGGATACGTTTGCACTCCTATCGAGCGCAGCGGACGCACCCGAGCTCGCGGCCTTCCTCGATCCCCAGCTCGCGCCCGCGCTCCATACCCATGGCCTCGCCCTGCGCCACGAGCGTCTCCTCGTAGCCGGAGATGGCGTCGAACGCGTCCGCAATGTCCATCGCAATTGACTGTGTGCGCCTTACAAACACCAAGTCAAATGTTCACCAACGGGATTGGCTGGCACTGAAGCGATCTTCGAAGGTCGCAATCATTAACCCTTTCTGGGTCTGCTTTTCGTGTATTGAGAAAGCCACATGATCTTCGCGCTACTCCCGCGCTGGTGATGATCTCACGAGTAGGCGGCATTTGTGGACAGCAGAGGACACTGCATATACGTTAGGATCCATGAACGATTGCCAATTGCCAAAAGATGCGATGGGGCAAGTTGAACTAGCGGTGGAAAAAGCAAAACGTGCCGGTGCACCGGAACTAGCGCTGCTGTTGATGGTGCAGCAGCATTTAGCGCTGAGCAGTGAAGGTTGTGCAATACATCATCGGTGCCGAGTAAATGCAGTGGGAGATATATGGGATCTGCGGCACGCATAGCAAAGTGCCATAACCAGCTCAGTTTCATTCTGCGTCGAGAATATTTTGGGTGCCTATTCTCAGCCGTTTCAATGGAGGCTAATACTGACACACGGGCACGAATATGGTAGCCTCCGCAGCGTTGAAGTGGCAAGGAGAAGCGTGCAAGCTGCCTATATATTATTACGTGGTTTAGAGTACAGGCGTCGAGTGCGCAGCAAGCGAATCAAACTTGTGGGTTGAAAAGAGAGAAGAAGTGGCGTCAACTTACTGCGTTTGTTGTTGTTGTGCCTGCTGGGCTTCCACGGCAGCAGCGGTAAGCGGCTGCACAGTCTTGACGAAGCGTCCTTTGACACGGGGACGCGCATTGGCCAGCGTTTTACGCACGCCATAGCGCACCTTGTGCTGGGACAATCTGCGTGCACGCTTAGCCATGTACTTCTGCAGCAGCACACGACGCGCCGCAGGCGTGTAGGCGCCGATCATCTTAATGGGCTCGGTGATGTAGTCCAACCGAAGCGGCGTCATGTCACGCGGTGGGTTGTGCACGCTCGAAGGGCTCTCCTCGTCCACGCGCTTAGTCTTCTTGGGCGACGCAGCCTCCAGCTCCGAGTCCTCCGAGCTGGGCGTCGTGTACCCATCTGAGGCCGTGTCCTTGGCGGGTCCGTTCGCGTTCTGCAGCTTGGCCTTCTGCCACTCCATGACGACGCTCAGGAACAGCTCCTGTGAGCTCTGGCGAGCGCGCGACAGCGGGCGCGGCGCCTCGATCTTGGGCAACTGGCGGTGCGTCTTGGCGTCCACGTCGCCCAGCAGCCAGCAGCGGTCCTCGACGCTCGGGCGACGTAGTACGGGAAGCGTTGGCTGCGGCGTCGGCTCCATCTCGCGGCTTCGCTTCCTAGACAGCAGCATGTTCATATTTGGCCGTTGGAAGTGGGCGCTTGAGCGTTTCTCTGGAAATGCGAATGTGCTTGGCGACGTTTCCGGTTGCTGGCGCTCAGAGATCTGGACGCGCACCAGCTTTTGGCAGCTTTTTTTTTTTTCCACAAAGTCCGTACTTCTATATGTTACATGTATTAGGTTTTTTAGATTCTGGCCATCCTAAACGAACGCCTCGCGAATTTCTGCTGAAACGCACGAGTACCTTCACCAACTTATCCTGGAATAGCACGACGACAAGAACCAAAACTAACAAACGTTAATCTGTGCGAACTAACGTTAAACATGAATGGCTTATTCCTTTTCAAAATTTGCAGATTTCACAGTCAACTTCAATCAATGTCACTTCGTCTTACTTTTCAAGCTGCTGGTTAGAAATTAGATAATCTAAATGCTAAATTAGACCCAACCCTTTTGACAAGATGGATTCCACGTTACAGATTTGTCTTGGTTTTTGTAAGGAAAGCGCGACGTTTGAGGATCCAATCCGTGCGCTCGCCTGGCTCTGGCTTGATTTCGCCCACACGTCTGTTTCTGCTTGGTGCTGCCATGCGATCCCGTCGAGTACATGTAGCCGTCAACTGGCAGGGGCAACCAGCGCCGGCAGCGGGGCCGCCGAGGATCTGACAGAGTTCAGAGCCACATATGACACACTCTGCGAGTACCCGATGCCACGAGAATGACAGCAAACTCTGGTGTCGATTTGTCACAGCCCATGAAGAGGGTGCAAATATTGCAGCGACGCAGCTCTCTAGCGTGCGATCTACCAGGCTTCGATTCAAGCTGTTGCGGGCCGCATATCTTAAGTTACATTATTTTTGCAGCGGGCACGGCCGCACGCCGAAGATGGCTGTGCATACTTGCACGGCGCGTGGATTCTGCTGCGTCGTGAGCCACGTGCAACGCTATAGACATGCGCTGCAGTGTGTCTGGCATAGAACCGCAAAGCTTGCCAACGCCTCAGGACATGACGTCCTTGCTTAGCACTACCTGTGTCGATGTGTGAATTACGCTTCCATGCCAACACACGACGACGCGTGTGTACGCGAGCAATCGACTCTTTCGCCTGCTGCTGCAGTTGCCGATGACGAAAGTCGAGCGGGACAACGTCGCAGCCAGTTCTTCGTGGTTGAAATTACCATTCGACACCGATGCATCTGAATAAACCATTGGCAAGGTTCGACACGCGAACCTCACGTCGAAGATCACTCAGCTCAAGGTAGACTCGTTGCTCACCCGCATATACATGTTATATTCTGTGCATGCAGCATACCCAAGGAGGCATTCATGTGCGCACTGTGCTGTCCAAGTGAGAGGCATCGTGTCCATGCGTGCATACGAAGCTGCGACAGCGCGGCTGGATGATGCTAACGAGCTCTCATTGCGAAAACTATGTGCCAGCGATCTACCGCTGGGCATTAATATTCTTTGCTGCAGCTAGGGCCAAACTGAATGATAGCTGCCCAAAGCCTGCGAGATACATCAAATACTTAGCTTCAATGACCTAACATAGTCGACGAGCCGTTCGCAAATTGAGGCACCTACCCGACAGTACTCCAACGACTGTAGAGGGCAGGGTACCGTGATGTATCCCTATGGGACTCACGACGATGACACGGTTGTTGACAAGCTCCAAAGCACGGAGGATGGTTGGTGAGTCGGAGAGACTCCCTGTAAGGATCGAAAGGACACAAGTTTTAGGACACTCTGAAGGCTCAAATAAATTGAAACGCGTGCCAAACGTACCAACCCAACACAGCACGATGATCTCGTTCTCCTTGGCATTGAGCAACCAGTCAAGGATGACACCTTCGTGGTTGGAATCGTGCGTGATGAGTGAGATCTCTTCATCTACCGCCAAGTCCTGCACCTCCCGCAGCAACTCGGCCTTGGTAATATCGCCCCTTATATCATCGAATACACATCATGTCAACATATTGTAACATGCCGTCACTTTTTGCAGAAACAGCCCACCCTGTCCACGAGCTCCTCGTAAAGCTGCAGGGCCCGTGAATCAACAGAACCTCTGTAATTCCGTCGCAAGATCGGTGCAAGAAATCCGTTGCTGTATCAGAGTCGAGTGTGGTTTCTGCAGCCCTGAGCAGACTATTTTCCGCAGGCGGGGAAGAGTTTTCGGTGCTTGTAGCGACAGGACCAGAAGGAGTAGCATTGACACTAATACCATCCGAAATTGACGTTTCGGTATTGCCTGGCGCCATTTCGGGGTCCAAATTGCGCACAGGACTTGTCGGTGGCTCAGACACCGCGTCATATGCTCCTTCCGATAGACCCCATGACCTTCGCGCATACCGTTTGTGCTCGTAGCCGGAGAAGTACTGACGAACCTGAGGCGGCAAACTGTAGCAGCCTCGCATGTGCTTACACCAGCGCTCCTTGCTCCTAGTGGTGAACACTTTGTTGCAGTGGCGGCATCGCGTCGTACGCGCCTTGCCCTTGCCGTCGTGAACTACGTGCTCATCGATGGAACTCATTTATCTGTTTCCTTTGCGTAAACTTTAGGTATACCACACTATCGATACACCATTGTTACAATTAAAAAAGATCCGCACAACTTTTGAATCTTAGATTTATCTTTCTATCCAAAAAGCTACTACTAGTACAAGTTGTAGATCACGAATAGTAATAAGAGATCGCTTGATTGAATGCTGCACCACAGTCTCACCTATCGTCATCGTTGCAAGTGAACTGCGGATCTGATACCTTTCGCATGGCTTCCGTAATAGCAATGAAGTACGCATGGTGTTCAACTCTGTTGGTGGCCAAAATCGTCGATTCATCAGTGGCAGCAACAGCGAACTGGTCTGCAGCCTCGACAAACGTCATGGCATCCAACTCATCGTAACTCAATCCCGTCATCTCCATGAACTTGCGAATGCGAAAATCACGAGGCAATTTGCCCACTGTCACACCCTCAGGTGACTTGACAGTATCACCATCCACAACGTCAGCATTAAGCTCTGGGTCTGCCGTCATACTGCGGCGGTTCCAGTTGGCCGAACCAATGGACAGATACACGTCGTCGATGATCACAAGTTTCGTGTGAATCAGCAGTTTCCGTTCTGGCTTGGTCGTGTAGATTTTAAACTTGTTCGGATACTTTGAACGGATGGGCTCGACCATTTGATACAGATACTTGATGTAGCCAGCATTCGTGAACGCATTCGTTTGCTCTTTGGTGACGACGATAAGTCGCTGGATCCGCGGCATCACCTCCATGAGTGCGTCAAGTAGTTCTGGTACGAACACAAAGTACTGGTCTTCGACGTAGATAAAGTTCTTCGCATTCTTGATAGCCTTGATACGAGCATGGAACAGTGAGTTCTCACCTTTAGGGGCAAACTCCTTGTAGTGTTTGTATTGACAGCTGAAGGTTCGTGTGATCTGGACACTTTGGTTGCCGAGATTGGAGGTCCTGCTGCTGCTGGCGTAGTCGAGTGACGGGATTTTCTCGAACGTAGGGTTTTCAAAGTCAAGAAGTTCGTCATCTAGACTGCGACACGGCAAATAGTCCGAGTTCCATCGGGCTATGAAATTATTCGCAACATCTTTCGCGGCTGGTCCGTGGATTCGGATGTGTCCATCGACCCAGCCCTTACTCTTGTAGGTGATGTTCCCCGCATCTCGGATTGCGGTATTGTTATGGTGGATGGTGTCCCACCGATCGATGGCAAGTTCCATCCCACCCACGTACGCAATGGGCTGGGCTTTTTTATCGGAGGAGCTGTCTGTTGCGATGACCAGTGTTTTCTGGTGGTGAGAGGCTATGAGATCGATGCGGTCATCGAAAATGTAAACGGCTTTTGCTCCGTTGACTGAAGATGGCGGGATAGTGTTGATAGCGTCGCGAGCCTTGATGTTGTATGGCATGTAAGCGCCTGCAATACTCGCCCAGCCTAGAATGTTCACGTTTCCCCCTCGTTCCACGACGCCCGCGAACACTTGCTTGAAACCAGTCTTTGTCCCGGTCGGATCAACGTCGGGCTTGAGTGGAACGAGGGATGCCAACCATGCAGCAAGCATGACCCGATCGCCTTCCTTCGTCGAGCTGAGGTCGTCGTAGACTGCATTGTAGAATTCGTTGGTCGCCGTGTAAGAAGTCACGTTGTTGCCGGTTGTGTACACTGCCATGTCGCTCCTTGGTACGCCACCCCGCGAGTCCGTGATCTCCTGTTCGGTGAGAAACCAGTCTTTGGGATCGAGGAGAGGTTGCTGGGCAATAATGTCCGATTCATCGACGCTGTTGCCACTTGCACGAGATTTATCACGGCGACTTGAGCCATCAGTATCGTCAAACCACGACAAAAACGAAAAAGCCGATGAAGGAGTCGGCACCAGTATTGACGCGATAATAAACGCTGCGACGATCATAGCTCAAGAACTCACGACCCCCCTAGGAGTGCCTCCGCAATACCTTTGTATTCGAACACGCAGGTGAGAAGGTTATTGGGACAACGAGAAAAAGGATAACGCTATCGACCTTGTGATGCTGAGTCTGAATCCTTTCACCGCCAATTTTTGCGTCCAACAGCTTAAAAGAAAATGTGCACGAGCGAGGAGGGCAGGGCAGGCGTTCGTAATCGCCACACCTGTTTATTGATGACCAGAAGGTACCATACAGAAAAAGTCGCTATTGGAAAAAAATATTTTCAAAACAGTTAATTTTTTTAATTACAAGCTTTAGGCAGATAATTGCCGGAACTATTATACTTGTGAAAATAAAGATTGAAAATAAGTATAAGTCAGTCACTCCTATTTTATGTTGACGTCCTGTACAATTGGGACGTTCCATAGTTAAGCACCCCATTACTTTACAGCTGAGGGGTGAGAGGGGGAAATTAATTGGTAAGCTGGTGGTCATAGGGAGACATTGAGAGCATATTTCAAGTCTGGGAATTACTTTCGACGAGATTGTACAGAAGCCTCTCTCAATAAGCGTAGCTCGCGTTTTGCATGCCTTGTCATATCTTCTGATTTGGATTTGACGATATAGATAATTTAAATCCAGCTCTTAGCATTCCTCTGGAAATATATCGACAGTTCCCTGTCTAGCCCCCTACACTTATGGAAATTCTACTTGAAGTAAAAGTTCAGATCAACAAATCTGTCGACAAGATCCCATATTCGTATGGTGACCATACTTATTCCAGGTATGGTCTTCGATAATAACAGTCATATGATATGATACGACTACCGTACTCGAGATCTCCTACTACAGAAATCAAATGTATGAATTGTCGTATTGCGTGCTCTTGCAATTTTGGATGGACAACCGTTGTACTTAGTTTTGGTAAAGTCCTTTTTCGTCTATTTTTCTATTATCACTTTTGACCCTTTTCTACAGAATGAATTAGGAGATCTCCAATATGATACCGAGGGATTGACGGTATCGTAGCCCTGTGTGCGGGTACCGTTTAACGTACCGGTACCAGCACGCAGGGCAGCATTGACAATGAGCGCAGCAACAGCATCCGCCCAGTCGAACTGGGCGGATGATATCGCTGAACTGGGCCAGTTCATAGGCCTGGGTTATGTAACTGTTGATTTTGATAATACACTGAAACAAAAATACCAGCTGTTGTAGATCCGGTGCATGTATCTAGACGATCAGATACATAAACGGTGCGACTGAAATCGTAATCTTGTGTCACTCATATCTAGTACCATATTAGATTATCTTAATACCTACTGTACACAATCGCTTCACTACATGTATGTAGACAGAACATGCAAAACACATGCATGTACTGTCCAAACACACAGTCAATCAATTGTCTTGGCTAAGGTATACTTTTGACCTCCAATGCGTCGCAATAAGGCATAATTGAGTCTCACAGGTAGTCGCAACGCTCCACAGTTGCGCGGCGTTTGCACCGCCAACTTCGCTTCGCTCGTGGCGGGCAAGGATCCCGCGCGGATTAGATTGTAAGTTCTTGTTTCGGAACCTACTCCGGCCTACGCGCCGTCCCCTGACAGACCTCCGCTGCGCTCCGGTTGTCATGGCGCCTCTCTAAGGCCTCATAGCGCGGCTATGGTCATCCACGTCGCCCATCCTTCTGTGTGAAACAATGTGGGTCCGTACTATTTCTCTCATGTATTTAAAACCATTTGGTCCACCAAAATTTGAATCAAATTTATCTCATATAATTAAAAAAAATTAAAAAAAACTCCACAACTACGAAAGTTGAAATAGGCTATTGAATTTGAACAACGTATGGTTGGGAGAAAGCATGTTGCTTTACCGACTTGAAGTCGGCGACTTCCGCGGTGGGCGTTGGTCAGCCAAGAGCTCTTCTCTCTCCATGAGAGTTCCCAGGTCATCATTTACACCTTATTTCTAGGCAGTTCGGGGCACTTGCTTCGAATATGGCCCTCCTTTCCACACAAATAGCAAGTGAGGGCTTTCTTCTTCGTTTTTGCGCTTAGAACACCTTTCTTCGAGCTTGCAATACCAGCAGAGTTTTGCGAATTCTTGGCACTCGAAAAATCAGTCTGCTTTGCCAGAAGATTGGCCGCGGCGCTCAATGCCAGCGATATCGACTGATTCCAGAAGCCTACGACAGAATTCACCAGTTGGTATTCTTACTTGGCAAAGTTGTTAACGTGGCTTTGGCTTGACGCACCTGACAGCACACCAACAACACTCGCTGGCAAAGGTCCATGGTCCACATTGTTCGGACTCACGATAATGACGCGGGACTGAATAAGCCCCAGAGCGTGAACCACAAACGGCGACTTGGCTAAACTAACTGGAAAATATACAAACAGAGTCATTATCATCAGCGTCAACAGTTACAATATAGCACTGCGCGATCTTACTGTTCCAGCATAACACGACCACTTGGTCTTCACGTGCTTCCAGCAGCATATGCAAGATGATTTTCTCCGAGTCATACTCGCGGTGTTTGACCACAATCTTCTGGTCGTCAGCTAGAGCTTGAATCTGGTGCTGTAGCTCTTTCCTCTTTATATCTCCCCTGCAAAAAAGCACATCAGTATTCACTACCAACAACAAAAAAAAGCTTAACTCACCCAGTCCAAACTCCCCGTACGAAGCTGCAAGGGCCCTGTAGTAGCAGCACATTCACCAGTGCATTATCCCTCATGATCGATTGACCCACACTGCTATCTGTGCTTGAGATCTCCTCCACCACCTTGGGCTTCTGAGCAGCTCTAGTAACCGGAGGCTGCACAGCTCCTCTCTCCTTAGGCACCTCCTCGTGCTCTCTTATCCTCGTTCTTTTGTTGAAAGCAGTCACATCTTCTTCCACACTGGCCGATGACGTGTCGCCCCCGTACTCTGCCACGTCTTCCCCGAAGAGGGTCGACATCTCTGCATAATATCACCTGTCAATTCATTTGGAAAAAAAAAACATTTAAACAAATAAATTTAACCCGCATACCAGCGTGCAGGAGATTGATATCATGTTGCGCCTCTGTCTGCTGTGAGGTAGCCGCACGCGTGGCATCGTCCAGAGTGAGTTTCTCTGTAGGCGACGAGGGCGTTTTGAGCACGTTCAGGTCGATCTCAAACGGATTGGATGGCGTTTTCGCTCCTGTGGAGGACAGACAACGCCATGCACGAGGCTGCAGCAGCAAGGAGCGCGATGGGAGGGCGCCACGGCGACCACCAGCGCCCGTCAGGGCTAAGACGAGCCTTGCCGACCGCATGCTCACTTTTTGAGCGGTTGCTGGTATATCGGTGATTACCGGTATGAGTTGCATGAAGCTGAGTGGCAAGGTCGCGGTGGTCACCGGCGCATCCGGAGGCATTGGCGCCGGTATGTGAACTGCAGTAGATATCGGTTTGCTGGCGCTGGCTTACTATTTATACGTTGATGTAATTTTGCATAGCTATCGCGCTGGAGCTTGTGAACGCTGGAGCTAAGGTGACAATCGGTGCTCGTCGACTGGAGGCGCTGGAGAATGTCAAGGCGGACATCGAGGCGAAGACTGGGCAGAGTGGGAATGTTCTCATCGTCCTGGCGGATGTCACGAGCCCCGAACAGGTGATATAGGTATACTGAGAAGAATGGGGATGGCTAGAGACTGAAGAATACCGTCTTCGTAGATGCAAAACCTCGTGGACAAGGCGGAGGAGGCCTTTGGGCCAGTGGATATCCTCGTTAACAATGGTGAGGCAAGAGCACCTTTGAATGTATGGTTAAGTTGCTGAGTTTTGTGTGTGTGTGTGTGTGTGTGTGTGTGTGTGTCAGCTAATGAAGAATGTGGACCAGGATAGTTGGGAACGGGTAACCTTGATGTTATATGTGATAATGTGTGAGTCGGCCGGTAGCTGAGTGTTCTTCGTATTGGCGTAGATGATCGAGATTAATTGCAAGGGAATATTGAACGGAGTGGCCGCGGTACTGCCCGGTATGCTCGCTCGTAAGAGTGGACACATCGTCAACATTTCCTCGGATGCTGGACGCAAGGTTTTCGCTGGACTTGGCGTCTACTCTGCGACGAAAATGTTCATTGAAGGCATCTCCCAGGCATTGCGCCTTGAAAACTGCGGCAGTGGATTGCGAGTGACCTCGATTCAGGTATGTTACGGCTTGCTAGACATTTCTAAAAAAAATACGATGCGTTAACTAACCACATTTTTTGTAGCCTGGAGATGTCACGACGTCCTTAGTAGACCATGCCAATGCCGTCAGCGGCGTCGACGAAGAAGCCACGAAGATGTTCAATGACGAGCCAGGTACAGTATGCCATTCCCAATGTTTTCATTTGCAATTGTGAAAGATAGCTAACTTCTTTTACAACAACTTGCAGAATGCGAAGAGCTCCAGTCTGAAGACGTTGGTCGCGCTGTATTGTACGCCGTCATGCAGCCGCCACACGTGGCTGTGAACGAAGTTTTGGTGCAGCCACGCGACAGGTCCGTTTAGATCCTTACGAAATCTAAAGCTTTTAAAGTCAACTGCAATAATGCACCCCGTTTTCGCGGGGGTGGACCATACAGGATTTGCTAACGCATCAGGTTTCAGCAATGAAACCCGAGGAGTTTTTGGAAAAAGGAGCATAATTTTCCGGGAGTTTATCATAGGTCCGAGGGCGTGAAAATAGAATGTACTTCGTAGTACTGTATTGTGAATTCCGTCCAAATTTGCCGATTTTGGGTCTGTTTGAGGAGCGGGAGGACAAAGTCTTTTCTTGTCACCTTATTTCGTACTTAAACGGATCATTTTACGGAATTGTAAACGCTGGGCGATTTGGGGGAGATAGAACCGCCCATGACAATTTTGAGTAGAATTCACAAAACCATTATCAAAAACAATGAGCTCAAAAGACCGGTATACCGGTATCTACACCGCTAAAAAAACGGAAATCATTATTTTGACGATGAGCAGCAACACGCAGTTGAGTGGCAAAGTGGCGGTGATCACTGGCGCCTCGGGCGGCATCGGTGCCGGTGTGTGGCCCCCCATGCGTCTCCACCTGAATGTATTCTATCTCCCACTTATATTAATCCTCGTAATTCTGCGCAGCCATCGCGCTGGAGCTTGCAACGGCAGGTGCCAAGATCGCGCTTGGAGCTCGACGTCTCGAAGCGCTAGAGACAGTCAAGACGGACATCGAACAGAAGATCGGAGCCATCGGCAGCGTCCTTATCGTGCAGACGGACGTAACCAAGCGACAGGAGGTGCAGAACCTCGTGACTAAAGCGGAAGAGACCTTCGGGGCCGTCGATATCCTCGTGAACAACGGTACAGATGCTGCCAATACCGTCTCAACGATCCTATTGAGACTTACCCTCATGTTTTGCAGCTGGTGTGATGCCCTTTGAGCTCATGAAGAACGTTAACCAGGACAGTTGGGAGCGGGTAAGTTGAGTTCAGAGTCTGTTCTCATTTAGTTTTTAATGTTTTAATGCTCTTTGCAGACGATCGACATCAACTGCAAGGGAACACTCAACGGTGTGGCGGCTGTGCTGCCAAAGATGCTGGCCCGTAAAAGTGGCCACATTGTCAACATCTCGTCGGATGCAGGACGCAAGGTGTTCCCCGGATTGGGAGTTTATTCTGCGTCCAAGATGTTCGTTGAGGGCATCTCTCAAGCTCTGCGTCTTGAGAACGTCGGCAGTGGACTCCGCGTGACTTCCATTCAGGTGAGTTATATTCTATTGCTACAAAGTATTGAATGAAGACGAAGACTCACGTATTTAATTGCAGCCTGGTAACGTCGCTACGGATCTAGTGAAGCACGCGAATGCTGCTAGCGGTGTGGATGAAGAGGCAATGAAGTTGTACGGTGGCCCATCCGGTAAGGGGTTTGTTGCAGTCTACTTTTTATTTTTACTATTTGCTTCGCAGTCTCTAATGATCTACCTTTATCACCGCGGAATACTCTACAGAGTGCGAGGTTCTCAAACCTGAAGATATCGGTCGAGCTGTGTTGTACGCTGTCACCCAGCCGCCATATGTGGCTGTGAACGAGATTCTGGTGGAGCCGCGCGATGAACCCATTTAGAGGAAATCTAGCACAGCTCCAAGCCATACACGAGACTTTCCAGCTCGTCCTCCATTTGCCGTGCCGAGTTTTCTAGGATACCCGAATCGTAGAATGACGCCGTCAACTTTCCATGATTCTCTGTATTCTGATTGTCATCGTCTTGTCCAAATGCACACAGGCACGCGATCGGAAGACCACGAACACAGACGCTGATACCGATGAAGAAACGCATACGCAAGTGCTGCACCATCGGAATCTCTCGAGTTCGTGGGTCGGCGAGACAATCCAAGACGACCAGAGGCTGGTTTTGCGGCTGACAAAGCACAAAATCACACAGTGATTCACGTCGTAAGATCTCGTCCTGTGCTGCTAGGTCGCGAGTACCAACGGCGTGCTCAATCAGCACGTACTCGGCGTTCACGCGGGCAATGAAAGCAGCATTTACACCAAAAGCAGCGGCAGCGAGTTCGCAGCTTCGATGCATGAGAGTGCGGTCAACTAACGTGCATGCAGGAGACACGATCACTTCCAGAAGCTTGAGTCGCTCTTCTTCACGATCGTCGTCCAGTTTAGGTAAGAAATAACCCTCATCAGCGATGGAGTCCTGGTCTAATAGACCCACATTAGAGCTCATCAAAGACGTTCGTCGATGGTCAAATCTCCTCAAGTCTTCCTCTTCTTGCTCCTTCGAGTCAACAAGACGGTAGGACGACAATCTGTCCACTGAGCTGTAGCTGCTCGCATCGGCTACAAGAGGAATCGGCTGAGCCATTCTACGCGACCTTGATGCCATGGCTACCGGGTGTAGGAATGATCTGGATACGGTATAACCTGAACGCGGGGCGTCAAACCCAGAGTACGAAGCCTCAGTGCGAGAATTGTAGCCTCCTTCCCAGCCAGAAGAATGTATGCTTGATTCGACGCTGTTGGAGTCAAGCGCTTGCAGTGACCAGATACTCTTCATACTTGACGTAGTTGAAGGCACCGCTTGCCACAGATTCTTGGTACTCCGAGCGATGGACTTGATCGAAATGATCTTGCTGTTGACAGATGCAACAAAGCGACCGGGTAGTGCTCCAATGTAGCCGTCACTCTCGATACTATCGAACTCGTGGGCACGATCACTTTCCTCAAAGTCGTCCATCATAACTGGTCCCGACAGTAACAAATCTACTGAACGTGGAGGCAACATGAAGTCTTGACCTGCCACAAGTTTCAAACTTGGTGGAAGTACTCGCAATGAGAGCGGGAGATCTGATTCTGACCCCGATTCAAGCATAGGAGTGCGTTCTCTTCGTTGACGAGACGGTGGAGCTCGACTGTTATAGTTGTTGCTGTTGTGATTGCTTGAAAACCCACGTGAACTCGTCTTCAGTCGAGCCTTATTATTGCAGAGATGGCAAATGCGAGTCTTCTGCACCTCTTTCGTCTTCACACTGACGATATTAATGGTACGTAGCGAGCTGCACGCGCCACAAATGACCTCTCCACAGAGTCGACAATGATGACGACGGCGAAAAATGGCGTTGAATCGTTTCCAGCAAATGACACAACTCGTTCTGTCCTCATTCTTCACCCACTGGTGTGGGGCTACAAGTTGACAGTCGCCAATTCTGGAAGCTGCCACAGCTGACTCCAATTTCCCAACGGATCGCAACGCCAGACGCCGTGCAATGGCTCGCGCTGCTCTAGGCGAACCGGCCAAAGGACCGTCATTTTCGTCGTGAAAAGAACTGGTCACGCACGATAGACGCAACCGGTTAGGAGCAATCTCCTCTACGATCAGTGTGTATTGCAGATCGACCTGCTGCGCCGTCTCCAGCATCGCTTCATGGGAGCGAGGAAATGGCAACCAGCTTAACGCTATTGTGCGTTTGTGTACACCGTCGGATGGACGCGCATTCAGTCCAGCCATTGACGAATTAGCTGACATGGACGTCACGGCACTATGTTCATTGTGTTGCTGGTTCTCCGGCAGAAAAATCTTAAGAGTTTGGAAGAACGTCAGGTGTTGTTCACGTAGCAATACAGACTTGCGATGGTCCTGATAAATGAACCAAACTGCTGCGTGCTGGGTGTCCATGGTCCAGTCGCTAATGGAATGTTCCCTTGTCCGCATGGACAGCAGAGCGCCATCTTTAAAGTCGCGACCGTGAAGGAGCTTCATCATAAGTCGGAATTGCTTTGTTGAGTCGAAATGCAGCAGATCAAAGGCCTCCTCGAAGCCGCACGAGGCCTCGTTGACAGCTAAATAATACACAGACGTTCCGTTGCTCACGCCTTGGCCTGTACGTTTGGCGTACAGCTCCTGGTGCTTGTCGCGACGCAAACATGTCCACTGCTCCTTCGTGCGCGTGGAATTGAGGCATACCCCCAGCACGTCCGTGATCTGCCTCATAGCACGGTGGTGCATCCTGCGAGTCTGTGCTCGGTCATGAGATAAATGCACAGACGCCGCCATGCGATTATTTGGTTTCTGGTGGTTGGAAATCTCTGGAAGTGGTGGGGATGGCGAAATGGATTGGATCAGCAATACGACGTGGATGAACTTCAGCTGGCGCGGGAAGCTTTCCAGCTCTTTAGTCAAGGATACTCGATATCGGGCTTGGAGTCAGAAGGCAACCTAGATAATTGCGACGAATACCGGGAGAGACTCTAGGAAGCGACCTTGGCGTAGCTCCCTAGTCGTGCTAAAAATCTGGTTGTTCTGTACTGTAATGGTCTAGCCAGATGGATGGCTATCCCTACGTCGCGAACGGATGCAGCCGTGTTCTCGTCCCAATATTTGCCCCAAACCAGCGCGGGTGTGGCAGATGGCAGAGACGTTGGGGTGAAGTGTTTGCTGTGACACCGGCTGGTTAATGTCAAAGCCCAAGACCACACTATCGCAGATAGAGTCTCTATTAAAGATCCTCTACAGGAGATGGCCAATGCCGGACCAGCTAGCCGACCAGCTTCTTCGCAGCCACAGACAACGGAAGGGCCACGAACTTGTCGCGGCACTGCAGAGTCTCACCTCGGGCTTGAGTTATTAATACCAGTAGCTGCAGTGACGAACTTGATCTGTTTATTCGCTGCTCTGGTGAGCACGAAGATGACAAGAATTCAAGCGATCAGTCAACTTGCATCGGCCGACACGGCCTTAAACGCCGTTTCACTGCTGTTTAACCGGGTAATACGTCAGCAGCCGTTTACATCGGGCTCATGCTCGCCATCCCGGCACTTCCCAGCTTCCAACGCTTTGTCGGGTACCCGGAGCGTCGCCCTCGCCCTTGGTCAGCAGTTCTTGTCTTCAGGGAGCCGCGTCGTTCCAGGGCGTAACTTCGTACTGAGCTTCTGTAACTTACAGACTGCAAGGCAACATACCGAAAAATCACCACTAGATGCTCTAACGAGAGCCCCCCCCCCCCCCCCACCCGGGGTGATTGGGTGTTAGAACTCCACTCACAAACTAATTGGGTGCGGATTACTTCTGAGCGGCAACATGCCCCCCCCCCCCCCCCACCCCCCCCTCCCCCTCTCTCCAGCACACACATCGTGCCCCACTGCAATCCATACAGTCAAGCAGGCGCCTTCGGAAAGCTGTACGTACGTCACAACGCTTCGGGCGGTGCTGCTAACATGCCTAACGCATACCTAACCGGTGTTAGTGCTGAACGCGCTCCCAGACAACTTTATCGCTGCCATGTTTAAAGCGTGTTCGATGCAAGTTAAGTGCTTTGCTCTGTTTGCCGCTCCTTTCGTTTAGTCGAACCTCCGGAATGGAAGCGAGGGAAGGCTTGAGTGGTCAATTGAACCTTCTAACATACCGTCGTTCCGCTGTGAAGGCTACTTCGGGAATAGTGTACAAACCCACTGCGCTGTGTCAAGAGCATAATGCGGTGGCGCCAAGCGCAACTATTATCAATGGATACTTGTACAGCACTCGTCAGGCTTAACACGACAGATATCTCCGCTACTGGTGATGAATTCGTCCACAGTTGATGGACGTGCGCGCAATCGAGGGCATTGATTTGCGATAAAAGCACTTTTTTCATTGCGTTTTGACCGTAATCGTCGGACGCACCTACCAAAGCTCGATCTGGACCGCCAAACACGTTGCCACAGTTGACATGACCAAAACGTGATTTGTCTGGGATTCGGTTCAACGATGATGGCCACTTGGCTTTCTTTCAAGAAAGCAGCTTTTTTTTAGCCCTTTCTTCCCTCTTGCAGCAAAACTTGACTGGCACAGAGCCTCTTTTCGACAGCACAAACGGCTCGATTGTATGCATTGCAGACTGCCGGTTGCTTGAAGCATGCACGTTACACCCCAGCCCGCCAACGAGTGCAAGTTGTCACGTGACGAGGCTGCCTTCGCGTTGCCATTCCAATCTTCAGTTTCCGCCTCGAAAGCGCAAACAAAGCAACTGAAGATATCAGACAAAAGCAAGTCTCAGATACAGTAGGTCTCAGCAATTACTAGTACTCAACTCCCACCACGTCAGTGCGAATGGAATCAAACAATGTCAAACGAGTTGGGGCAAGCACCGCGCCGTTAGAAACTGCGTTGCTCGATACACATGTACGAGATCGGTCCCCAACTTGCCACGTCAGGCGCGACCGGCCGCCGTGCTGAGCGAGCGGGTTCGAGGCTCCAGGTTGGTTGCGAAAGCCGGGCCTCGCGGCGAATAAAAGGCAATCCGTCCGCTTTCTTGCCCGCCCACGGCAACAGGTGCCTTTCCCGCGAGGAGCTAATCCTGAACGTCGGAAATTCAGCACGAAAACTGCCGAGTAGATAGAGTGTTTCTGACAACTGCGCTCGCAAACGTGTTTGCTAGCGATGGTCACAGGCTCTCTCGACGGCAGCAGCAATAGCCATTACTGTATCCACAGGACGGAAGTAGGTGGTTAGCGTATCCGTCACCGGCGGACAGTCGGACCCGCAGTTGTTTGCTTGCTTGGTAGGTTTTACTTTTCTTGAATTAGGACCACTCTCTTCCGGTTAGGTTCGACTTTTCTCCCGCTTAAGTGTATTTTACGTCGCCTCTTCAATCTTGTTCTCTTACATTTTCCAAGACTGCGGCCAAATTTTATGGATAACGGACGACACTTAACCTGAAAACCACCTGTTGAACTTCAGCCCGCCACGCGATGCGATTGGCTGAATCGCCTCGCCATCATCCACGGAAACCGTTTTCGTCCGATCGTGGCGGAGTAGCGTGATTTGTGCTGGAACCAATCAGTGCTTTTGACATGGATTTCAACCAATAGACGCGCAGAGGCATCCACTTTGCTTTTTATATCTGTTCTTTTGCCTTCCCTTCCAAAGATGTGCTTTTTTCCACGAGCTCCGTGCCGACCACCATTTTGAAATCCTCTGCGGAAAAAGGACCTCTCGGCTCGGGCGCGATCAAAGCTACTTGCAGTGGGCGAGCGGCTTCGTGAATCGGCCGACGATCTTCCACCTGTCTCCAACTTTTATCACTAGCGTGACAAATTGCTTCGTGCCTCGCTGTTGCATTTTGCACTCGAGACACTGCACTACCGCCTGAATTGCCGAAACCAATCGAGTGCCACACACACATTTCGATCAGCGTCGTTTCGCGACTAGAGCTACAACTGACTGCTTGGTGTTAGACCATTGCCAGCCAGTTCTTTAGATATTCATTTTGCTTCGTCGCGAGTCGTTCCTAATTTGGATCGCCATTGTGCCAACCGATTGAGAACGGAAAAGATCGCAAAACTCATCCGATGAAGAACCCGCTAAGCCCCATCGAGGAGAGCAAGACGGCCATGTGCCTGTCTCCACAGGACAAGATCAAGAGCGCCGCAGTACAGCGCAACAAGCGCTCGCATGCTGGTGGTGTGCTGACCGGTGCCAGTGACTCTAAGAAGGCTCGTCTGGACGGCATGTTCAAGAACGAGTTCGAACTCGACCTGGACGGATGGATCAGCGACGACTACGTGCGCGCAATGGACTTTGATGACCGGCTGAACCAGGATATTGACTGGGTGGCCCACGACGAGATGGACCTGACGCTGAGCATGGACGCTCTGGCGCAGGACCACACGACGAGCGACGACGTCAACGATTTCGGCTTCGGCTCTTCGTTCCTGCGCGGCGGCTTGGCCTTCGAGGACTCGGCGGACATGGCTTCGACCTTCGGTTAGTTCTTGCTGTTTGCTCTTTCTGTTTGATGTTGCTTCTTGCAATGCAAACCGAAATCGACGCGTGCCTAGTGGCTGAGACGAACACGTGCTCATCCTTTGCCGTTTGATGCGTTGATTGCGCCTATAGTTGACCCGGCCTACATCCGTTTGGAGTCAAGCACCACCAAGGACGCCGAGAAGCTCCTCATGAGCTTCGACACCATGAACTTCAAGATCCCGTCCCCGACAAGTACTTCGAGCAAGAAGCGCACCAGCCTCTTCTCGGACAAGGACACTGACGCGAAACAGGTTAGTGACAAGACGACAACAGGTACCTCTGCTAGTTCCCTTGCAGCCAATTCGGCTGCTGCTGAGGAGCTGCGCAAGGAGCAGGCTCGTGTATCTGCAGCAAACAGCTCGACGTCGGCGGACTCGCTTCTCAGCGTTCTTAACGTCGGAGCGTCGACAGCCAAGCCCAACTCGACGGAGAAGAAGATTGGCTCGTACAGCCCGGCAGCGCGCAAACTGCGTCTTCAGAAGTTCCACGAAAAGCGCAAAAACCGCACGTGGAAGAAGAGCATCAAGTACGATTGCAGGAAGAAATTGGCTGACGATCGCCCGCGTATCAAGGGCCGATTTGTGCGTGTGCTGGAGAACAGCGGCGACGCAAAGACTGGCACGGCCGCTCGCAGTGCTTTACCACCGAGCTCGACGTCCGCTGGGTACGCGTCTCCTACGTCTCCTACCGGCGCGATGGCTCCACCGGCCATGACGCCGGCAGCCAAACCTCAGGTGTCGGCAGTGCCTCGAGTGACGGCAACATGTGCAAAGCCGCAGACCCCCGCAACTACTTCAGTGGCCAAGCCCGCACCCGTACCAACAGCGCCGGCAACAAGTGCAGCAGCATTACCGTTCGCGCGTATGATCGCGAGTGTGTGACGCATTTGTGGAGTTGGGAGGGTCTGATGTATGACAAGCTTCGCAATGGGGCGAGACTAAGTATGATATGATAGTGTAGACAAAAGCTGGTTTTGGCGCAATGTGGCCGAAGCTAAAGACATCGCGGACGAAAGGAATATAACACCAATCGCAGAGGTGAAAACACACCTAATGCAGCGCGGCAATTGCCGCCTGCAGCACTGCCGGCCCGTGAAGCGGTCGACACATGTACGAACCGCGAGCCTCTGTATCCATCCAGGCAGCAGGTTTGGGCAACAGCAGTGCAAAGCTCTCAAACATGCGCTGGCGCGTGCACTTACAAGAGCACGCACAACCATCAGAACGTGTGCTGCCCATCGGAGTTCCATTGGCCAGAGAGAGCCGCTCGGCGTAAATTGCGTTGCCGAGCTGAGACCACCGGAAATGCAAGACTTGCTGGGTACGGTAAAGAAGGATGCTTGAAGCATGCAAAGAAAACACTTTTCCGGCTCATTTGCAAGTCGTGACGGAGCCCGACGCAATGCACAACAAAGACACGCAATGTCGCTTCGTATTTAACAGAACAAAGCACTTTTCGCATCTGATTTTCACAAAAGCGCTTTCTTTATGAAAACAAATGCTTTTTCTCTGAGATGTGGCGAAAAAAAATATGTGACGGGACTGTAGCAACGAGTGAAGTTGCTCTTCAAAGGCATCTTGAATGGAATTCGGTGAGGACGCACACAGCGATACGCGCGTTTAACACGTCGACTGCAGATGCGATGACAATGATATTGCGGCGCGTCTCCAGCTGCACGTGCCGATGAATGGGCACACGTCTGTGACGATCGGCAATACTTAAGGAGATATCGAGCTACAGAGTCCATGGACCCAGCACGTACATGTAATAGCTCCGTGCTGTACTTACTCCGATCTGTGTTCCGTAGGTAGTCTTGGCGTGCCGCCCTCGATAATTCCTATCGGTCACTTCAAACTCCTCAGACAAGTACTTGAATGTACCGAGCAGCGCAAATACAGCCACACCGACCACACCCAGCTTTTACAGCTTTTAGGTCTTGATCAGGGAGCTTCACCTTTGGAGTCTTCCATGGGGCAAGGACGTGGTCTGAAGTATAGCTCTGATCCAGATCGAGTTGTTTTCGCTTGTCCAGACGATCTCGGGAAAAGCTTCAGGGAGACGTACAACCTCGACACTAACACTCCCAACGCAGACAACAGAGACATCTGCCTGAGAATCAGTGGCCGATGCCACAGTTCACGCCACAGCGGGTGAGCATTTACACCTGCAGCTGGCCACCTCGGCAGAGGACCACACTCGCTCTGAGTATACCGCACATAAATTCTTCTTATTTTACCCAATCGGCGCTTCTTCTCCATCCCTCCACTGCTACAGAGACCAAGGCCGGACCACGCACTAGTCTAGGGACAGTCACCCTCCCGCCGCTATGAGCAGCTCCAGCGCCTGCCGCTTCTTCCAGTCGCCGCAGGGCTGCTTCCGTGGGGCCTCGTGCACCTTCCGCCACGACGGCGAGGCAGCCACGAGCGACGTTTTGCTGAGCGCCGCCAATCCGTACGCCAATGGCTCCATCCCCGCACCCACTCAACCGCGCACGTGCCACTTCTTCGCGTCCGATAGCGGCTGTCGCAACGGCACAAACTGCCCGTTCATGCACGTTGCGGCGGAGACCAGCGGCCCGGAGGCGCCCGAGTTCGCGGCCTACGACGAGCTGGCGGCGCCCCCATTACCGCAGGACTTTCCCGTGGCGGTGGCCAGTGGTGGCGCTGTCTTTTACAACCACCCAGGGCTGCCGCCGCCAATGATGATGGTAGCGCCTGAGCCTGACGATGAGAATGCGGCAACTGTCGTTGCCAAGCCCAAAAGGAAACTGCAGATTCAAGCGAATCCGCAGAAAAAGGAAACGATCAGCGAGATTTTGCCAGTGTTGACGAGGGATATTGAAGGACCGGTGCGGCAAAAGCAACTATTTGTTCAACTTCTGGGTACAGTATTGACGGTGCTTGTTACCTTTTTGTCTCCAGTTTTTCGCGATTGACGTCGAGTGTGTTGCCACGGGCAATGGCACCAAGTGCGTAAATTACGCGGCGTAATGGTTGATTTTTTTTTCATGTTGAAGTTAATGTTGACGTGGTTTGGCCAGTGACCGTGATGTAGCGCGTATTGCCGTAGTGGATGAGGACGAGAAGGTGGTGTTCGACCAGTACGTCAAGCCTACCAAGCCTATCGTAAGCTACCTCACACAGCTTACAGGAATCACAGAGAGGTGAGGCACATTTACTGCAAAATATTGCAAGAAGTTGCGGATAACTCACTCTTTTTCAAAGCAACTTGAAGGATGCGCCAGACCTAAAAGAGGCCCTTGTGCGGTTGAAGGCAATTCTGCCTGTGGAAAGCGTTATTGTGGGTCAGTCCATCAAGAAGGATCTGGAATGGCTCACGCTTCAGAAGCCGACGGACTACAAGGGCGAGTTCGATGTGGCTGATCTTTTCCGTTTACCAATGCAGTCGACCAACGGAGTGGTGCGCTATCGCTATTTTTCGTTGCGCCACGTGGCCAAATATCTGCTTGGGCAGGACATTCAGGAAGCGGATCACGATCCGGTCATCGACGCTCGGTACGCCATGAAAGTTTTCAAGAAATTCCGCCATTTGCATGAAAATCCAGGCCGGCGTGACGCAGTGCTGCAGACGCTATTGAAGACGCCGCGCACACCTTCTTTTGCAGAACGATACCCGGTAATCGACGGCGTGTCGATGCGTGCGCCGCGGAAGCGAAGCACGTCGCCTTCGATCCGAAACGCCAATCGAGTTGCGGCCGAACAAGCGCAGCATGCCACCAACGGAGGGTATAACCTTCGCTATCAGCAGCAGCAGCATGGGCAGCAGCCGCTGTATTTGTGAGAATAGCATCATGTGGGCAATACACTGAACCATTTCCAGCTTGCCAGTCCAATCCCCACCTTCTCTTTACTTTCAGATTAGAGATCGCTATCCTCAGATTCATGCTTATCGCTCTCGTCTGAGCTGATATCGTCCAGATCTTCTGCATCTCTCTCCGCTTCCTCCGCTTCCAATGCTGCCATTGCAGCAGCTCTTGCAGCTTCAGCGATTGCAGCGCTCTCCTCGTCATCGTCATCGTCATCGTCTTCTCGTACCATATTTGCCACTAAATCATCATACCCGTCGAAAGAAACGTCACTAATCTCGCTGTTATCATCACTCACCGCGTCATCTTCTTCGTTCTCATCACTCTCAGATTTGTCTTTCGTGTCAGGTTTGATAACGTTTTTCGTGACGCTCTCAGGCCCTGCGGCAGCTCCCTCTTCGTCCACTCCACCTAGTTTGTGACGAAGAATCTCCCGTTGATAACGCTCGAAAGCGCGTCCACCGATACCGTCCCAAGGACGACGCCAACCCATAGCGATAGCCTTATCCCGTTGCTGCCGTACAAGATGTTGCCGCACGGTAGCGCCAACTTTTTCAAGTAAAATCTGTTCCACTTCGTGTCGAAAAGCGGCGTGACCCTGACCAAGTCGAGCTTTTCCACGTTCCAGCTCCTCGATATCTTCACGGACACGAGCTTCAGCGAACTCGAGCTTCTCACGCTTGGCAATCCTGGCCTTCAACTCCCCTAGCGTCTCTGCGTTCTTCATAGAAACCTCCTTGCCAGACTTGGCTGCTTTTTCCGCAGCTCGTTGCATCTTTTTTTCCAGTTTCTCTTCTTTCGCATGAGCTTTGGCAAGTGGCTTCAACTTGGCACGATGGATCTTTAACTGCTTTGTAAGAACACGGAGATGCACTCTTAACGCATTCTTAGCAGTTCCAACTTCGCGTTGGAATCGCTTTTCACCTTCCGGAGTCTCAAGGAACGCACGGATTTGAGGGAGTAGTGCGTCTTGCGCTTCTTGCAGTCTCTTTTCGTCCTGTTCTCGACGTGCGACTTCCTCTTCAGTGTATAATACGCGCACGATCGTCCAGCCTGGTTGTTCGCACGGATCATGCATCTTACCAAAGCGTAGCAGCTCGTCACAGCCACAACGCAGTGGCACATTAGCGTGGACAACTCCTACAGGTCCGTACTGACCGACATACTGATCCAGGGCACGTTCGACGTCACGTAGTGTACGTTTGTTTTCAATGAAAGGCTCAGGTGGGAACCCACGGTGTGTGCGGGTTTCTACGACTTTCAGCACACTTGGAAGCTCTTTATCGGGACTTAAAGGTGGTCGAACTCGTCCATCGTCAGCTTTGTAGTCATCCGGGAAGAGTAGAGACCCGCGTACCGTATAGACGCCAACCAGTTCCCCTTTACGTCCCCATGGTCGCAACATATCGTACCTTAGATCAGTCTTATCAGCCCAGCGTTTCTGACGAATTAATCCAAGTAACTGGAGAAGTTCCTCGAGAACTGTACGATGGTGTCTTTGTGCCAATTCGAAATGTTTTCTAAGCAACAATTCTTGAAAAATATCCACACCTCTACGGAATTGTGGACCTGTTCCGAGAGGTGGAGGAGGGAGATAGAACGCGCCGTTCACGTAGCGATCAATTGCACGGTCAAAGACTGTAATATGCTTCGCTGTTAGGAACGGAAGACTCGTTAACGGTACGTCTGGAGGTAAGAGATGACGCATGGTCGGTTTGTCGAAAGAGTCTCGATCGAAGACAAGACCCAGAGCACTGAGTAACGCAGTAAGTTCGTCTACTCTCTGTTGACGTTTGAGTAGATACGAACGGATAGCTTTCGCTCCAAGACGCATAATTTCAGCTGGTGGGGAACGGAACGGATTGCCGTCACTTTCAACGATTTCCAGTGCTGGAAGTGCAGCACCGAAGTTCAATGGTAGTCGTTCGAAGCGATTGCTCTGCATTTCCAGTCGCTGTAGAGTGGCGCCTAACAGTAGCACAGCAGGTGGGAATTCGATGAGCATGTTGCCTGCGAAGGTAAGTTCTCGTATTGGAGGGGGTTTGCCACCGGAAGGTCCAATCCCACCCAAGGACATTGGCAGTTCTGTTAGGCGATTCCCACTCAAACGCAGTACTTGAAGTCGTGGTAATAACGAAAAGTCCAGTTCGTCGAGAGTTTCAATGTGGTTAAATGATAGATCAAGTCTCTCCAGAGCGAGGAGGGACGATACAGCTCGTGGGCCTATTACTAGCTGGTTGTGTGCTAGCTGCAAGTCCGTTAGAGTATTTGCAAGCCCATCCAATGACTCTGGTAATGATGCGAGGATGTTATGACTGGCAAGCAACACTTGAAGCTTCACGCAGTTGGTAAACGTATCCGGTAGTATTTCCAGTCGATTGTAGCGAAGATCTAGACTCTCCAAACTCGTACCAATTCCCAGATTTGATGTAACATTTTGTGCCTCAATCGATCCAAACACTTCAGGTGCAATCGCTCGAATTTCGTTCTGTCGGAGCTGTAACAATCGTAACTTCGTGAATGCCCCGAACCCCGCAGGAAGAATGTCCAAGTTCTGCCCAGAGAGCCGAAGTTCGCGTAGATCTGGCACAGCTGTGAAGAATATACGAGGAAGTTCAGGAGCCTCGATGCCGCGCCAGTGCATTGAAAGAGTGTGAGCTTCTTGAGCAAGTTCAACGGCTCGAGCGAATTCACGGTTAATGTGCAAATCAGTACTCCAGCACTCAGAGCCAACGCCAATTAATCGCGCTCGAGGCTCCGGTGGCCGTGACCCTCCGTGTTTTTCACATTCGATCTGATGTTCGAGCTGCCATCGTATCTCGGCCAGGTTCCCGGTTCGCAAAGTCTCGGCAGCAAAACCAGCACTTAGTAGTGGGTTATTTCCTGACAGGCGTAATGTAACAATCCGCTTGAGAGCTAGAAACGAACGTGGGAGCCTCTCCAGCGCATTGGAACTTGCATCAAGCACACAAATCTGCTGCAAGTCTCCTAACCGATCCGGTAGTTCTCGAAGACGATTCAACTTGATATCTAGGTCAGTCAGGTTAACCAGCTTAGAAAATGATGGAGGCAGTGTTGCCAGTCCGTTCATACCAAGTCTAACCGTCTCGAGCGCTACTAGATCCTGTAATACATCAGGAAGAGTTAATAACTTGTTGTTCTCGGCTTCAAGACGCTTCAATCGCTTTAGTTTTCCAATCGAAGGCGGGAGATCCAGCAGTTCATTACCGGATAAAACCAGCAATTGCAAGTGATCGACACCTTCCCAGTGATCAAGCCCCGGTGGGAGCGTTGAATAGTGTTCTTCTGTGCTATGATTTACAAACTGCAGCGCTGTTGAGGTATCTAACGGACTTGGCAGGATAATTTCCCAGCCATCAGGATAACTTTTTAGCAATGCTCGCTTATCCTGTTTCTGAACTTGGTTTCCAAGTTGGAGCTTAGGAATTAACACCTGAAAACATTTGGGCTTGGCACGGGTCACACGTTTCGATTGCAAGTGGAAATATACTTTATCGTTTGTGACCGGATCCGCTTCGACTCGCCACTGCTTACGTTCAGCTTCCTTTTCCTCTTCTGTGGGTTCTTTGGCAGTGTCATCGTCCTGTGGATTTGCTACCGTGTCGTCACGTCTTCGAAGGAGTTGAGGTCTAGTTGCAAGGGTCACGAGGCGGTTCCCAGATAGAATAAGTGTTTGCAGCTTGTGTAGCGCCATTAGTCCGCACGGTAGCAATTGGAAGTGATTGTAGCTCAAGTCCAGCGTGATAAGTTTTGTCAATACATGTAAGTTTTGAATATCTTGCAGTCGATTTCGACTAGCGTCGAGTGTTTCCAGTGTTTCTGGTAGATCAGGTAGTTCATCGAGCTGGTTTCCCGAGACATTTAATACCCTTAAGTAGCGTAGTTCACCAAGAGCACGTAGCGGTAACCGTGCTAACGCGTTCTCCTTACACACCATCGTCTCGACTTCTGGAAACGCTTGGACAAAAGTATCAGGAAATTCACGTAGGGCATTACGAGACACATTTACAGTCCGAATCGTGCGAGCAAGTTGCAATAACAGCGTTGAAAACACAGCCGTTCGTGGGATATGTACAAGTTCCAGTGACTTGAGATCGAGTTCTTGTGAGCCGTAGGAATGCCGTACTGCAGCTCGGATCTGCGTGTTGAGGTGGTCACGATGAGCTACTTCACGAAGTTTCTTGTTGGTAAGTTTAATCGGACTTTTATCGTTGGTTTTCACTTTCGCTAGTTCACGTTGACGCTCGATACGTACGCTCATTGAGTTTAGTGTAGGAACTCCACAAGTTGCAAGCCTCGTCTCGGCGAAATTGGCAGTGAATTTGCGGTCATGTGTCTCCCGTTCGAAGGCTTCTTCCTGTGCAATTTGTAGCTGCCGATGTCGTTCATTTAGTGTGGCGATAGTGGTTCGAGCAGCTTTGTAACTTTTTCCAGCAGCCTCGTACTCTCGAGCCATGTCAATGTGTGGAGGTTTGCGTTGGAATCCATGACCTCCCTTTGTGACTGGACCAGTGCTCCCCTTGTAAAGAAATCCTTCGCCGTTATCTTCACTTGTGAGAGCACGTGGAAAGCGGCCAGCCATGGCCATCGGTGGATCAATGATTTTCGCAGTAACATGATACTTCGAGGCAGGAGAAGGGTTCATTGTTTGCTACGCCATTAGAACGCACCTGTAACTTTACGAATAAAAACCACACATGCGATGCTACAGCATTCTTGTTCTCAGCTTCACTCTATTTTTTGCTGCTTCTTGTTTGGACAAGTCTCCCACTTTCGAGTTTTTCCAGTGCCTTGCAGTTGTCATGGAGAAATACGTGAAGGTGCGTAAGATTGGTCAAGGAAGTTATGGAAGTGCCTACTTGGCGACGCGAAAGACTACGGATTCGACTGAGCAGAAGCATCAGTTTGTTATCAAAGAGATTGTGCTGGATCCTCGCGACCAGGCAAACGCTCAACGAGAAGCTCGACTGCTAGCAGCGCTGGATCATCCCAACATTATTTCTTGCAAAGAGAGCTTCTTACTCAAGCCATCGGTCACTAACTTGGCATACCTAGGACGTCATCACCAGCGTCCGACGGTGTTGTGTATCGTAACGGAGTTTGCAGACGGCGGAGACTTGAGCAACGAATTAGAGCGACGAGCCAGGCGTGGGACCTACTTCGAACCCGATGAACTATTGGGTCTCTTCGTGCAGGTTTGCCTGGCACTCAAGCATCTTCACGACCGCAAAATACTTCACCGCGATGTGAAACCTGCCAACATTTTCCTTACAAAATCGGGTGTCGTGAAGGTGGGAGACCTGGGAGTTGCTACAGTGCTAAGTCACACGTTAGCGTGTGCACAGACTTCTATTGGAACACCGTACTACACAGCCCCTGAAATCTGCCTGGGTAAACGTTACAACGCCAAAGCCGACGTCTGGAGTCTAGGATGTGTATTGTTCGAGATGGTCTCGTTCATCCACGTGTTTGACGGTCGTAGTCAACGACAATTGTTTGATAACATCGTACGCGGAGTGACTCCACAGTTACCATCATGTGGGAAGCTAAACAGCATCAAGAAAGAGCTCCAAGCTTTGGTCGACGACATGTTAAGAAAGGAACCACGTGCACGACCAAGTGTGAACCAACTCATCCGTCGACCTCTCGTCTTGGCTCGAATTCAAACCTTCTTATCAGCTCATGCGCTCGCCTCGGAGTTGAATCACACGGTGCTCCATGGAGAGAATATCTTCCGAAAGAAAATTACACTTGAAGACAAACCCATAACGATCGCTCAGCAGATACGCCGAGCAGAACCAGTAGCTCGAGTTCCGTCAATGAACGCAGTTATTAAACCTTCTCGGCAGCAACAAAAACCGAGGAGAACACCCGAGAGAGTGGGGTCTCTGTTAGGTGCAAGCCGGAAAGCTCGAGGACTGCCTTCCGGCGCTTTCAGGCGCATTCAAAAACTGGCCCAACCAGCTCGAGTTCCTGTCAACAAAGCGAACGTTGCTAAACAACGTGCGGTACCTACGAAGACAAAACGATTAGGATCTCAAGCTTCGGTTCAGGTTAAGGCGAAGCTCAAGGCGCAAATCGAAGCAAATAAAGCCGCTGCTGCCGCTGTGGCTGCACTTCCTCACCCTCCAACCATCTCGAAGGCAAGCGACCAAGACCACGCTAAAGCTCACAATGGGATATCGGAACGTGCAGCTGCATTCAACGCAAAGGTGAGTTGATACAACATACTCCGTTGGTTTAGCTGCTAATACGTGTATGTACTATTCTGTTGATTTCAGTGGGCTGCCCAGAAAGAGGAGCTAGTGAAGAATCTGCCGCCTCCTGCTCCTTCTAAAGCCATCGCGAAGAATATTGGCGTCTCGAAACCAAAACCATCTGCACGAGCGTATCCGAAGCCAGTGGTCATCGGTAAAACACTCAAAACAAGTAAACAAACTCCAACTCCAGCATCAGCGGGAATTCGTCGCCAACCTGCGAAGCAGAAAACCCCAATATCAGCACCAAAAACTCGAGGCTCTGCAGTCGTTAATAAGAGTCAACCTTCGCTTCGTGAACACCGACTCGAGTTCCAGCGTAAGAACCGTGATAAACCTCGCCTTGCAATGGCATCGCCACTAGACGACCCAGTCATCTTGGTCCAGCAGCTACCAGACTTCAAAACACCAGTAACTGTATCTCCCCCACCAGCCCCAACAACTCTCACTTCATCCTTACCAGAATGTGCAGACAAGGATCCTCCAACCCCAAACCAAGACGATGAACAAGACCAAGACTTAACGTCTTTACCCTGGATGGCCAATCTGGAATTCGAGCGGATGGTCCTTCAATTGAAAAGCGCTATCGAGTCTGACACTACGAGCGATGACGAAGACGATGAAGATGAAAATTCGACTGAAGGCTTCGATCCTAACGTGTCTCCTCCGCCATACTCAACTGCCCCAACACCTTCACTAGAATCCTTAAACACTTCGGTTCTAGAAGACCCAAAGTTTCGTTCGGCACTTCAAAAGCGTCTTCAGCAGCACAAGAACGCTGCAGCTACTAGCGACCAAGTTAAGGAAGATGACGCCGACGTTGCTGTTGATCCAGCACAACGAGCTACACTTGAGTGGATGCAGACCTACATCACGTCGCTACTATAAAGCAGACAACTCGTCCAAGACCTCATCGTACACTTCCAAACGTTTGGCTTTGTTTTCTTTCTGGTACTTACAGTAGTATCCAGTTTTTTTCACTCATGACATTCATGTTTCTCTTTCTCCATCCGAGGCTGCTTGCTTTTTCATCACCCGTACACCAGCTAACAGGGACGACGCTGCACCTCCCAGAAGTTCATCTTCAACAGCTACTAGGCACTGCACGAATCACTACACTCACTCAAAATAAAAAAAAAAACATCACCAGTCCACCGCCGTCTTGATTCCACGTTCCTCGTTCCCATTTGGCGGCTTGGGCAGCTCATTCTCATTGCTTTGTCGGGTTCGACAAGCGGTACATTGATCCCAGCGAGCTGCCACCAGCTACACGTACTTGCATGTGCACAAGCTGCTCCAGACTCGCTGCGGGTGAAGCCTTAGTCGGCTTGGACCGCGCGCCACCGACCGCAGAGCGACCAGCGTTCGCCCCAGCCTGCATACTCTCGGCAGCTGACGTGGTCGTGATGGTCACGCTGCGTCGACGCGGCACCGGCATGAGCTTCGAACGCTCTTGGTATTCCTCCGACAGCACCTGCATCTTTCGAGCTCCATCCAAGTTCAGCGGCGCACTCTCATCAAACGCTTCCAACAAGCCCATAGTCGCGCACATGGAGCGCAGATGGAAGTAGTACTTGGCGTACGAGACAGCAGACACACGGACATTGTACTCCACAGCACTCAAGTACACGAGTTCCAGCTCATTGATCTGCTTCAGCGAGAGCTCCGGCCAGATCTTGGAGAAGTCCGCATTGGTCATACTCAAGTCGTCCCAGACCTTTGAAGCCATCACCATGGAACAGAAGACCAGACGACGCCAGTTCTCGCCACGAAGCTGTAAGAATCCACTTGTTGCCTTCAGGAGACGCTCCACATACACGAGACTCATGATGATGCACTCCGACTCCATTTGAGCACGGGAAAACACGTTCTTGATAAAGGACGCGATCTCCGACAAAGTGGGGACCACATCCAATATAACATCGTCGTCCTCCACCTCTACAAAGGCAGAAGCTTCACCATCCAGTTCATCCGAGACAGACGCCAGACGCTGGCGATCTCGGGTCGTCACGAACACGTCGAAGCGCGGGTCTGAGCGGATCGGGTCCTCCAAAGCCTCCATCATATGCGCACGTAAGACTGTAGCCACACACTGAATTGTAGCGTCCTGATCGGGGGAATTCATCGTCCCCATCCGCAAGTAAATGGAGTTCGTACTGTTAGAACGACGTCGTAGCGCACGCGGCTTGTCAGCGGGAGCAGAGGGTTTGCTTCTTGGTCCTTTCGTGTTCATTAGCGCCGATGCAGAGCTGCCTCTGCCCGCCATCATGGCCTGGAGTGACGGTCTTCCCTTGCCATTAGCCGCTCTCACAGCACGAGCATAAGCCTCTAAATCCGAGGCTCGCGGCACTAGAGCAGCTAGACGTACACGCTCTTGAATAGGCGACGGTACTGCAAGAGACGTCGAGGCACTGCGACCGACTTCATCCACGTCAATCCCGTCACTTCCCTTGCGAGACGAGGTCACAACTGGCGTCTCGTACGATGACAGCGTCCTAAAGAGTGATGGTCGTTTCTTGCCATCCTCGTAGTCGCGCTCCACGGTCTCAGGTTCCTGTTGAGGCTGGTTCTCATCCGGTATCATGCACGGTACGCCCATACCCTCCGGAGTCGTCGGCAACGACCGTGTCGAGCTGATAATAAGCTGGCGAGCAGATCCAGGCAGCGACCGCGCTGATCCGCTCGTGAATGAGCAAAAACTGCTGCGTGCGCTGTTGCAACTCACGGTGCTTGCTGAGGAGCGGGTCGAGAGGTGCGGAGACATCTCGTGGGGCTTGTGCACTGCATCCGGTGTACTGTGACTCGAGTTGGACGTCTCGCTGTCACGCGTGTAGTAGCCATCACGAAGTTTCAAGCGGATGTTATTCTCCATAACCGAGAAGAACTGGCGCTTCTCACGCGTCTCCGCAGCAACCAGTTCCGCTGGTTTCTTCCACGTTGTCTCGCGCGTGATCGGGTGGTAATAGTACGGCTTCTTGGACTTGGGATCGACAGCCACACGCCAAGCCACAGGCTCAGGAACGGAGCTGCGAGTTGGCGCCGATGTACGCACAGGAGCCTGGCCGCGCGTGCGTACAGGATCTTGGCTGGGTGCTGACGTGCGTACAGGAGCTTGATTGGGCGCTGACGTGCGTGACGGGACCTGGTTACGGGACAATGGCTCTGGGTTACGGGTTCCTGGAGCTAGAGAGCTGCTTGTAGCAGTAGTGGCTGAGCGTTGGCGACTCTGACTGTCTGTTGCTGGTCTGCTGCCCCTGCAGTTGCCATGGAAAGCGCCCGTTTTGCTGTTGCCGCGATGTTCCTCAGTCGGTCGTCGTTGTCTGCTGCGGTTCTCCATCCTGTCTCCACTGTGACGTTCCCGTCGGACATTAAATGGCAGATCGTCCTGACTCATGGCGATCATGGCCGGTCGACCTGCTAATTCCTCGTCTCTCTGCGAGAACTCGGGACGCCTAGCAACCATCTCGTTGGTCGATGATCTGTGGAGTCTTGGCTGACGCGTCTGTGGCTGGTTACTGCGCTGAGCTTCTGGCCTGTGACGTGAAGAAGTCGACCGCATCTGCGGCTGTGGCTGGCCCTGCTTCATCATCCCCTGGTGTTGCTGAGAGTACCCTCCACTGTACCCCATGTACCCCTGTTGCATTTGCATCTGTGCCATGGCCTGCATTCTGACGAATCTCGGGTCCTGTGCCATGTCCATAGAGCTGCTGCCTCCTCTGCTACGATGGTGGCGACGCTGTTGCTGACTGGAGCTAGACGACGTCGCCTGCGGGTGGCCTGTGGTTGTCGTCATGTTCATCCGCAGAGGCGACACCACGCTGTTAATGCACAACGGTCTTTTTTCCTCTTCTCTCGTGGCAAAATTTCAAGAGTGATGGTCGCAGAGTGAAAAAAGACAAAAAAAAAAAATCGCGAAAATTGTTCGGCCTGTCCTACCGCTGGGCTCAAGGCTGGAGCGCCTTAGACGCTCAGCAACGTTTGAGTGGCGCTGGTTGCCGCTCGCGCCGCTAAAGTTTCCGCTGCACTTACTCCCTCGTCGGGAGAAGAAGCCTCTTTGGCACGAAAAGGCCTCAATCGATTGGCCTCCGCCGCCAAAATGTCGCGTTTGGGGCTAATTCGGGCCCTAGCCCGACCTTTCCACATACAAATCTAAGTCGCACCGAATTTCCACCGACTTTTACTGCGTCAGGTGGCTCCGAGTCATTATTAGCGTTTTGTATGATGCGACTTGCAGTGGGGAGGTGATTCATGCCAAGAAGTTCCGTGGAGAGGCCACAAGGGAGGGAAATCCAGCTTTTAGCATAAAGTTGCCAGCCACAAACTCGGTGCTTTTTGTCTCGCGAGCCAATTCTCACACATGCCCGTAAAAGCGAGCGGCGGCGACAACCTTGAGCTGGCCTGGTCACCCCATCCCGAACCGAGTCTTGAGGAAGCCAATTGTCGACTTTCTCGCCAAGCTTGACGTCACGGCGGAAAACATCGGGCGTTGAAGAAGCTCGAGCTGGCCAGGCGATTGGTGCCTCAATCGAGTCAGCGTGTGTAACCCCACCTCAGCTTCAGAGCCACGGGACCAGCATTGGTTCTCGAACTTCGAGCACCAATGCTCTCCTGGTCGGGATCAACCCCTGGCTTCGATCCCTAAACTGCTGGGGCTGAAACTTTTATCTTTATCTTGAGAACGGACGTGACTCACAAAGTTCTTGGCAATTCACTGAATGATTCCATCGGATCTTCTCGTTCTTCTTGGCCAGCTTGGCATTTTTCGATGAAACCTCAAGACCGCTACATACACGAACACACACGTTAAGCGGACAGTGTCCATGTGTCCCCGAGCATCTGGGTGGTCGACTTAGTTGTCATTACTTCTCCAAACAAACCTTCCGTTGATAGCCAAGGCAGTTGATGCAGGTTGGTTATGTAGTCAGTCGACTCTTGTTCACTTGAGATTTACGACTGGTTCACCAAGTTGTAAATCGGTCGCCGAGCCGAAGAAGCTGTCGATCACCGAGACAACTGGTGATGGATTGAACTGGTCGTCAGCGATGATAACTGAAGTCGATAGACGGAGCAGTGCTACACCTTTGACAAGCGTCAAAGGAACCTTAAACTTAAGTAATAAGAAGCAAAGCGGGTTGCATGCTGACAACATGGTGACAGCAACATTGGGAAGGATAGATCTCACACAAATATCCGTAGAGGCAGCATGAACTGATGAGTGTATGTTTTCACTACGCTGAGTCTGAGATTCACAGTGTAGTGAACGACTCAGTGAGTCTCAGTGTGAATGTACCTGACTGAGGCAATTTGTTGAGTTGGAAAACTTCGTCGAACAAGCATACACGCGAAAAGATACAGGATCGATAACGAACGTCACTAACACGAGTACATGTATGTAGTATTGCGGCTTTCTAGCACCCGCTAAACTCAACATTCAACATTAGAGAACTTCTCACTAAGAGGACTGCAAATTCTCAAAACATATCTTCGAAACTCGTCCGCATGGGAGTGAAGTTGCTGCTGTAACGAAGGACCCATTTAGTCACGACGGACGCGACGAAGGGTGCACTTCGGGTTTGTAGCAGGCGTGCTGGGCGCCGACGGGGTCTCTTCGCTCGAAGACGACTCCGTGGGCTCCTGCTGACCGGTGGATGAGCCTGTGGAAGGGGTCTCCTCGCTTGAAGATGATGTGGTAGGCGGCGTCGTTGAGGATGGGGTGGTCTCCTCGCTCGCACCCGACGTAGTGGTCTGGTCACCGGCGCCCGATGTCTCGGTTTCGTCGCCCGAAGACGTAGTAGTATCATCATCGCCCGAAGCAGTGGACGGAGTCTGCTCGGTCGACGAGCCAGTGGAAGGAGTCTCCTCTGTCGACGATCCCGTGCTGGGGGTAGAAGGGTTCTGTTCGGTCGATGAACCAGTGCTCGAGGCAGAAGGAGTTTCCTCGGTCGATGAGCCCGTGCTAGGGGTGGAAGGGCTCTGCTCGGTCGACGACCCAGTGCTCGAAGTGGCAGGAGTCTCCTCAGTCGACGAACCCGTGCTAGGGGTGGAAGGGTTCTGCTCGGTCGATGAACCAGTGGTCGAGGTAGAAGGGGTCTCCTCGGTCGATGAGCCGGTAGAAGGAGCGGTTGTAGTCTGAGCACCCGTTGAGCTGCTGTCACCCGACTGCGTAGGCGTCGAGCCACCACCGCTGCCCGTGTTGACAGTGGCCGAGTATTTGGACACGGTCATGGTCACGTCATTGCCAACAAACGGCTCAGTACCACACTCGACCTTGATCAGGTACTGGCTGGTCTTAAATTTCTGGCTTTTGACAAGGTAGTTGAAGAACTCCATGAGGTCACCCTCGAAGTTCTCAACCTGCTTAGAAGCGACGAACGAGTACACCATCATCTGGCCGTTGGGTCCGCTGTAGACACTCCACTCATTGCCAGCGATGGTGGTCGTGTCGATGGCCTTGCCGGTGCTCGAGATCGGACCAGCGCCACCAATAGCAGCCAGCCAGATCATGATCTCGAATTCCTTTTCGCCCTTAGCAGTAGAACTCGTGAACAGGTCGTAAGCGACGTCGGCCACCACTTTGCCGCTGTACTTGACCTTGTACGACATGGTCGACGGGATGGACTTGACCTCGGTAAGAGGCACCGGTTCGAACTCTAGGGCTGCATTAGCATAGGACTTGACCTCCTTGTCGCCACCCTGCCACGACCACGTCGTTTGCCAGGAGACGGTGTCCCCCGAACCGCTATTCAAACTGGTACATTGCTTGCCGCCTCCGGTAGCCGCACTGGATCCCCAGAGATTGTTGTAGATAATGTAGTTTCCCGACGTAGTCTTGCCCCACTGGTCGCAGAATTCCTCGGCATAGGCCGCCGACATGGCCGCAGCAGTCAGAGCAGCAGCAAAGAACACCTTCATGCTTGTCGAGTTGTCAAAACTGGCTGGTTTGAACCTGGGCAAATCGCAGAATGACGGGCTCCAATCGGCCTGTACGCCGTGGGCTGGTCAACATTAGGCTGTGCTTCGCTGGTGCACTGTTCGTGAGAGTAGACAACGGAAACGACAACCGGTGCGCATCCTATGCTGTTAGCAAACTCGTTCCTGCACGGCAGATGGGATCCCTACAACGAGAAGCAGCAATTTTTGAAGATAACTCTTTACAAAAAGCAAGTTATTTGACTCACAGTGCTGAACTCTTTTCGCGGGCGCTGATTGGCCAAAGACAAGTGTATTCATTCGACCAACGACGTCGTTTGGTACGTTTACACGCGTCATCCACAATTTCAATGGGGAGTAATACAATACTAGCACTAGTACATGTATACTGTATACGATCCACTGTGTCCTGGTAAAACCAATTTTGTTTGCTTCAACCGAAGCACACGACTACAGTACTTCGATGTACATGTACTTCGGAGGTTTATGTTGAACCTCAAGGTTCTATTGTCGCGATATCGTTATCGAGGAACCGTGTCAAGTGTGACGTGCTCATTCGCAGTTGGGTTTCAGCTGGTGTGGTACCCGTACTTGTACATGAGCTATAATACACTCCATCGATCAACGGGGCGTGTTTACAGTTTGTAAGCTCCGTATGCGAGTCCTTCGGTTGGATGTAAGCAAGCACCCCATCTGGTGGGTACTGCACGCTGTGAAAGCTGCCTGTACACAAGCCGTGTTGACTCACTTGAGCAGCATCCTTATGCTTGCCATACTTCTGAAATACTATGTCTATACCAACCACGTATACGGCACAGACTCTAGAAATCAACTGGTAGGTAATTGAACCGTGTGCAGTCTGATCATCTTTAAAATCTGTTGTGGAATTCCCTTTAAATTAAATGGCGAGGAGACTGTTCCTTATGCTCCTGCAACGCTGAGTCGCTCAAACTCCAATGGGTACGCGGTACAGTGTGGATTCTCTAATTGCATCAGGGCTCGATTCGCGAGGTTGGTCTTACTTAAGTAGATGATTCGCTTTGCTTGGGCTATAGTGGTGCGGTATGTAGAGATGCATAAGTTATGATATTTGACGTTATCGTATCGTCATCGGAGAGCTCCAAGCTGTGTGCTGAGCAAGCGCTTCACCAGCAACCAATATGTCTCTTTATATTGTGTTGGTGTGCTAGTGACTGAACCCGATCTACACGTTGAGCATCGATCTCTGTCATTAGGTGAAGTAACGATAATCTTCGTTGCCGCTAACTGATAGTCTGAATAAAAAATTTAACCGCAAACTGCTGTACAGTGGAGCCGAAATATGACTCAAAAAGTAAACCGGCCCCGCAACTTGTAGATCCATACACAGACTTTATCAGTATGCATTAGATGCTGGCCATCAACAACTTTTGCACTCAACAGAACTTTACATTCAACATGCTTGTAAAAGCGACATATCGCGCTCATTGATGATTCGCGGAGAACTGGAAGATGGCAAAATTCTTGAAAGCGTGAAGGTACTATCCAACGAGAGCAGGATACACTCATGACTCAATTCAGTTTACGCACGACGAACACGACGGCTGGCACATTTCGAACCCGTAATCGTCGACGTGGTAGGACTCGTGGTGGTGGACTCCACCGTGGAGATGCTGGCACTTGGAGCCGTAGTCTCGGTCCAGGTTGAACTTGCTGTCGAAGTGGTCGTGGTCGTTGAAGTCGCACTGCTACCAGAGGACCCTTGCTCGTTCCAGGTCGAAGTCGTGCTAGAAGCCGTGGTCTCGCCGCTCTGAGACGAAGAGGTACTAGCAGCAGCATTGACAGACGAAGTGGTGTTATTAGTCGCGGCCTCACCGCTCACTGACGAAGCCGTGCCGGATGCTGCTGAAGCAGCCATCTCCCCTTGACTATAAGAACTCGTAGCTGTAGGCACCGTGGTTTCAGACTCGGTCGACGAGCTGCTTGCAACAAGCTCCTTAGTCGAAGTCACGGCCGAGCTCGCTGAGGTAGTTCCACTAGTAGCACCAGTGTTAACAACAGCCGAGTACGACGACACCGTCAGCGTCACGTCGGTTCCAGTGAAAGGTTCCGTGCCAGCCTGGACAGTGTTCAGGTACTGACTAGAGGAGAAACTCTCGTTATCAATGAGATATGTAAAGAAATCCATCAGGTCACCGGAGAAGCTCTTGACTGTGTCCGAGGCAACGAACGAGTACACGGTCGTGTCACCGTTAGCACCACTATAGAGACTGAATTCAGTGTCTGCGATGGTGGTCGTAGCAACGGCGGAGCCCGTGCTTGAGATCGGGCCAGCACCCCCAAGAGCGGCCAGCCAGATCATGACCTCAAACTCATTGTCACCGTTAGAAGTTGAGCTCGTGAACAGATCGTACGATACGTCGGCTACGATTGTGTCGCTGTAGTCGAGCGAATAGTCCATGGTTGTCGGGATAGATGAGATGCTGGAGAGCTGAACGGCGTCGAACTGGAGTGCGGCGTTTGCGTACGACTTGACATTCGACGAGGCACCGGCCCACGTCCAGTTGGTGTGCCAGGAAATGGTCGAGCCGCTGCTGCTGTCTAGACCAGTGCACTGGCTGCCCGACGTGGCGTAGCTTTCGCCCCACAGATTGTTGTAGAGGATGTAGTTATCCGTCGTGGCCGTACCCCACTGGTCGCAGAAGTCGTCAGCGTAGACGGCTGCCAGTGTCAATGCGGTCACGGTAGCAGCGTAAAGCATTATCATGGTTTAACGATTGAGCGAGCCTTGGAGTTTGGGGGTTCAAATTGCTGAATGGAGTTGGCAAAGGGCGTTGATATCGATCTTTCAGTAGGCGAGCGTCTTCCTCACCTTGGTTTCTTGGACTTCAGCTGGGATACTTGTTGCAGTCCAAGTGGTCTACTTTGTACCAAAGTAAAGGATGTCGCCTACTGTACAAAGACCAAGTTATTGGTGACGCTCCTGATTGGCTGATCCGGTTATTGTTGAAGTGCGTGAGGTGCCGTCTCACCATTTGACTTGCACGTTTGGACCTGTATGCAACTCAAATCTGACATCACAATCCGTCAAAGCACTGATGACTTTTGAAATACTGCGTTGCCCACCAGAGTATCCGCGAGGTGTGAAGATAGAAAGTATGTTACAAAGTCGTACTGCGCACGTAGAAGCTCCGAAATATCGGGCAGGGCAAGCAAACTGTAGCTTGCACTCAGGTATACTTCGAAGGCATGTGGAGTTTTTTTTTACAGCGGTGTGCGACTACATGACTGCTATCGATAGTACTGGATATCCCCCCGGCAGATCGAGAGGGGTCCCGTTGGCGAACAAGGAGTCATCTTATTCTATCTCTGTTCTGCTTTCGTTTCTCTCTTTTCCTATCAACTGTAAAGGTCAGAGCGTTGTTCTCGGCTTTATTCTTTTTCGATCTGTTTCAAGTACGAGCAGCTCTGATAAACTGTGGTGGGAATCACTACGCTCCTGGCGCGCGGAGCTTAGGAGCCATTGTTTCCAAAGCCCCACAGTGGATGCCTTCCAAACCCATTTAAAACGTTTTTATCAGTTTAATCGGCAACGTGATTCAACACATGACTGAACTTCATTATACCCGAAGGTCGTGTTCCAACAGTTAGCAACCGGTTTGATGCGCATTAAACCGTTTTGTAATTTTAATTAAAATAACGATTAAACTGATAAAACCGTTTGAGATGAGTTTTGGAAGGCACCCAAGCTTGGATTAGAATTGTTTGATGACCAAAAAGTGGTCTCACTACACAATCCACCGTGATTACACTTTAATGCGCGACTTTGTATGTTTTGGAAGGCACCAAGTGGAGCTTCAAAAACTTGACTGATATCTAGATAAATTTTGAATAAATGAGTTGTGTCGAGATCCCGTAACCTGAAGTGGTAACGGAGAAGTAACGGTATGTGATTGGTTAATAAAGCACGTTAATGTACATCAAGTCTCTCCTCGCTACATTTTCGTCATTCTGCTGATCGGAAAACAACGCAGCGAAATCGAAAACGAGGTTCGTGTTACTGCATTCAGATTGAAAGATACATCTACTAACTCTTTCTGTTTCTTTTTCTATGCCGGTGTGGTACTGTGCGTGCCGTGGGATTGGCGTCGTGGATTGCCTCTCGAATCCTTTGCAGTGTCGTTACCGCACGTTTCGGCCGCTGTTTTGCTGAACTTGTTGACTGTTTTAAAGCAATATTTGCCAAACCCAGCTTGAAAAGACTGTCAACGTCTTCATGCGAGCGAAGCTTCTGCATAGGAGTGCCGAGTTTAGCCTCAATTGCCGTTGTTATATGCCGAACAAGCACTGCCCATTCCGAGTACATTTTGCGTTACGTTTTGTGAAATCTGTCGGTTGAAGTGCCCGGAACGGCGGGTAACCGCATGCAGGGTTGCCCAGCCACCACATCCGCCAAACACCGAGGGCATCAAGTTGGGGGAAGTCGAAATCTTCAGGAAGCCGATGGAAATGGCCGTCTAACCGCCAGTGATAAATAGTATTGAGAGGATCTGGTTGAGGCCTTTGCTGCGCCGTGGAATCTTGCGATTTCCACAAACCAGCCTCTTGTAGCATCGACTAAATAGTCATTGCGAGTGTATCTCGTGTGAGACTTTGCCCTCCAATACATTTTTCATCCAGCAGTTTTGAGAATCCATCAAGCAGCAGACTTGGTAGCTGTTGTAGGGATTTTCAAGTCTCAGCATGCTGTTGAAATAGCTCCACTTGTGGGGGAATTCCAGTCGGTCTCATCCAAGAAGTCCGTCCCACCACCAGCAATTTGCAAAGATCGCTCAAAACACTTGGATTGCAGAATACGTAACTAGAACGCATTGGGTGTTTCGAGCTCAACTTTTCCACCAAGTAGTCGTAATGTTTGATAACTGAAGCTAGGCATAGCTTTAAAACAGGTGCAATATGCGCGTTCTGGTACATTGAAGGGAACATCCATGCCAAAGACTCGGTAACCAATGTAGAGTTCGGATCAACAAAGTGGGGTGGCAAAACGGCGAATTGAGAGCTGTTTTGAGGGAGCCCAGCTACCACCCTACCCAAATACTGATCACCGGCGGCTTCATATCGGAAATACCGGTCCTGAACGCCCCCCATTGACCAACCACACCGTAGGCATACACTTACAACCGAAGGGCCTCCTGTGCTCCCACTACTAGCAAATATTGCCACTCCCTTTCGAATTGAATGTGTCCCGTAAATCTTCTGACCAGTTAGCTCCTCCAACAGATTTCCGAGAGTCTTGGAGAGCCTCGCCTTTTGATTTGAACCAGGGAATAGCTTACCCGGCGAAAGTGCTGGGTTGGACGCAAGGAATAAGCCGAAAGCAAGCATCCAACAACACACAGGCTGTAGAGGATTAGCATACACGTGCCTGAGGCCTTTAGGTCCCGATCCTTCTTGATTTGTCTTGGTCTTGTGTAGAACAAACCCCACACTATCATCCGAGTAGTGTAGATGCGAGGTACGTAGGGTTTCGACAGAACGCGATCGACACATTAAATTTCACTGGGTCAATAAAAATAAATGGATAAATCCATTGTAGTTCTGTTTGATCGAGAGTTCAGCAAGCTGCACATAGAGCGAAAACGTGAGGGGCTCTTTACCCGGCTTACGTTCATGGCCATCTTGGATACTCTCTGCTTCCACTCGTTGCAAATCTTGAAATAGCGTTTTAAGCTAGCCCATATAATCACGTGGAACTTCCATTCGCTGCTGTCGATATGCATCTTTCAAAGCACTCCTGTATCCGCTTAGCGTCGAGACATTGTGCTTTCCTCCGTTCATCATGTACATCAGAAAGTTCTCGAAATGCTCAGGCGTAAAAGTAGTCAGATTAAGACTTCCATCTTGATTAAAGAACCGATCAGCAGAATCTTGTGTCGCTTTCACCCACTTAGAGACGCCGTTCATGTAGCTTTGATAGGCTTTCTTGGTGTTGGCTGAGGTACATGCTCGACGTACTTGAGCAGCATCAAGCTGGCCCGGTGGAGGTGTCCTGAATACTGTCTGAATGGCTTCTATCCTCTGGGCCCTCGCTGCAGGAAGAGGGGGGTCCTCGGCTCCTTCCATCGTGAGTGTAAGCTGAAAATGCAGGCAGGCACCAACCACTGGTTATTCTATATTATTATCCAATCAAAATGGGGATGAGGCCGTAACGCCTTTGTCTTACGGATTCTCCTCAAAGACCGTTGTCGAAAAGTGCTAATTGATTGGCTTGCACACAGAGGCGTACAAAATCTTTTGTACGAAATTGTAGCCTATCCTGGTTACGCTGGCATACAATTTCCTATAGTGACGTTACAATTGTAGGAGAATGACGATTGTATGGATAAAATTGAAAAAACAAACGCAAATTCTACAGCCCATGTTTTAATTAATGTTTTTTTTCGTATGTTTTAACCATGATTTGGTCATGTTTGTAAAATAAAATTCCGGTTTTTAAATTACTGATTTGTGGCCACTCAACTTTCCGCCACGCGTCGCGAGAAGCTCGCCGCTCCCCTCTTCAGCTCTTCGCTCTCACGATCTCCACGCCTGCTGCCACGCCCAGTCCAGTTTCGCCACGTGCCTCCCCTCTCCCCCCCCATCCTCCTGCGCTGTCTGACGGATGGTACGTGCACGTTTCGGCTCCATTAACGCTCATAACGTCTCCAACATGCCGTTTGTTTGAATTTGTTTTAGGTTTGCAGTCCCTTCTTCCACTGTTCGTCAAGCGGCTTTTCCCTTCGTCGCGCCCGTGAGTTAGAAGCCTGCTCTCACGTGTGAAGGCGCCAAAAGTGTGCTGAGCTGTGTGTTGATCACAGGTAAGACAAGTTTAATCGATCTACAGCGATAGCTTCCCGCCCAAGACCTCAACTGTGTTTCACGTTAGATCCAGTGAAGGGTGGGTAGGGGCTCCGTTTAATCGAGTTGAAACGACCATTTGGAGAACCTATCGATATGTGTCCACCTGTCGATACGAATGCTGAGTGCTGGGTGATCACTGTTGCTTCCGTTGGAGACTTTACCCACCAGCAGTTGCTGCCTGTGCAGTATGTGTGGAGTCTCGTAGATGCAAGTGAGAAGGGTATGAATTGCTATTCATGGCTTATGAGCATTGCCGATGAGCAGATCTGTTACGAAGAAACTGCTGCTGTTGCTAAACGAATGCTGGATGCTTGGCTAAAAGAGCGTCTCCCTGGCTTCGGAGAAGGTGTGGATATTGAATGGGCTCACCTCTATTGTGCCCGAAATGGCTGCTGGTACAACGACAATTTGATCACTGCGTACGGAAAGATGGTAGAAGGCGTGTACGGAAACAACACTACTATTTTACTGCCGCCCATGAAAAAGCCTGTGCCCAAGACCCCCAAGAAAGGAATGCGAGTCCCACCAACGACATTAAGTTTGATCACAGCAGCTAGTTCTGGACGAATTTTCTTGCCACTAAACATCAATGGTACCCATTGGACGTGTATCGTAGTGGATGGGACTACGCAGACTGTGTGCTGCTACGATAGCACGGACAAACGTGCAAACCACAACTTGCTTGCACAACTGGCGGACGAGATCGTTAAGAAAAGCCTTACGAAGGCTTTTTGTGTCACGGTCGTGCACAGTCCCATCCAAAAGGACGACTTTAACTGCGGCGTTTTCATCTGTCTGTACTTCTGGCGCCGCTTCTGGAAGGGAGCAGGTAGCGATTACACGGAGAAGGGATTGTTGCGTCGTCGGTGGGATATTCTGCGTACCATCATGAAGTTCAGCGATGAAATCAAAGAGAAAGAGAAGGTAACCGAGTAGGAACAGGTTCTAATTCCTAAAACTTATTATGTTTTCATGTTTTCCATGTTGTCACGTTTTCATGGTTTCATGACTTCACCGACATAAGTTCAGGAAAATCTGTCATTACAAAAGGTAGTTTCACCATGCAATACAGCAGTGAAAAAAATGTCCGACAATGTCAAAGTCCTCTCATTCTTCAATTTTCACACCCTACTGTCAATATGGTTTAACATGTCAGGCCATATCACAAACATAACCTTTATAAATTTCGAGTTCCCCGTAATTTATTTTTGGGAATCATGGATAAAACATAGAGATACATGACCAATACCTATGATTTCACGTTTAAAAAACATGGGCAGTAGCATCCGCAAAAAAAAAAAACAATTACTGCGTAATTTTTTTTGGACCCAAGGACTATTATCGTAAGCAGGTATGTTAGTACCAGGAAGCTCTCTGTAGTTAGATCATCTCCAGTCGTGGGGGCTATTCTATTTCTAACCGGAAAATTAAACGTGCTCTGATTGGACCATCAAAAATAGCAATAGGAATACAACTGTGAGCACCCAGTCCTACGTCTTATAATTGCCACACAGCCCTAATGGAACTTCCAGTTGGAACTGCAGACGATGAAGATGACGACATCTTTGGAATGCTAGCGGATGCCGACGACGAGCTCACTCTATCGTTGACGCTATCCTTTTGCAGGAGCCGACAACGTTTGCGTCCTCGACGCGGATCAGTATACGGTCGAGTGAAGTCAATGGCGCGTGATATTCAACTAGGGCATCATTCAATTATGCGTGACTATCGAGGCCCTAATCCAGTCTACGATGAGACTATATTTCAGCGGCGATACGGACTTCCATCCGAATAATAGATTACTGTGCGGTAATATATGCTATTAAATAGAAATAGAGCTTCGCCTGGATTAAATTGAGCTATTCTAACTGATTATATTCAAAATTTATCAATTCAAATAGCGATAGCACACTCGACTGGAGATGCTCTTAGTTACACTAGCTGTAACGTTGTTCCACTATTACATATTAGCCTTTGTGCATCTAAATTCGGAGCGCTTGCTTTCCTACGGCACCATCTACGTGCGTGTGGTGTACGTGCTGCGGCAGTCTATGTGAAGGCAGCGTCGGGCCCAAAACGAAGGGTAGCATGAAAGAAGACAACACACCAAGAGTCTCCTGCATCCCTGGGCTTTTCAGCAAACAACCCTGGCGACATAATTCACATACAGGAAGCTTATAGCAACTGTAAGAGTGTACATGTGCAATTGTAAGCCTACAATTGAATCGATATAATTCAGCGCCACGGTGAAGATGGTGGTAGTCTGCTTTAAACGGTTGACTTGAGCCATTGAGCCTAATACAGTACGGCGTTTAAATAACAATGGCTCAAGCCAATCGTAGTTAATTACTTATGGAATGGCGTACTTCTAAGTAGTATTTCAATCGTAACATTTTCAAGTTAAATAAAGATCTGTTTGGATCAGTTCTAATCCGATAGTGTTTAAACTGCTGCAGATTTTGCCTAATCGAAATTTTATCTGGAATGAGTGGTTCTCATATCACATTGGATCTGTCGCTGCTATTCAGGCGGACATGGAAAGCCCGCGGATCCAGATACGAGAGCTGGAGACTGCTAGCGTTTCCTGTAACTTCCAGCTCTCGTTGTTGCTATATATCGTACTTAACCGAAAATAGCAAAAAGAGAAGTGGGGCACGCAAAAATTAGCACTGTACCGTGTAGCGAGCTACATGAAACAGACGATCCCCTCGGTAGTAATCCCTAGACTTGGAACTCCCTCAGCAGCAATAAATTAGCGGCCCCCAATGACTAGTCGATAACAAACCCACGATATTATTCCCTCTCACCCCTTAGTTGAAAAAAAGGAATACATTTGAAGTCAATTATTCCTGTTCTGGGGTGCTTAACTAAGGAAAAAATTATAGCTGCCCAGAGTATTCCTGCTGCCAAATTCATGTCCCGCCCGATGAAGCATCCATTTGACCACTCTGAAGGAGAATCGAACTTTAGGATCACGGAGAAGCGCTCTGGCTTCACTCAAATTGCCTCACTCGTGGCAGTAACACCATTCTCTTCCCACCAGGAGACCCAACTGGCAAGGACCTGGTTCAGTTTAGGATGGCACACCTTGTGCCGCGATTTTGTGGCCAACTGCGAGACCTGGAGTGATTGCAGCTC